GGCAGGGCGCGGGGATGCTGCTGAAGCGAGCGAGCGCTCGGGGAGGGCTGTGCGCGGCCCGGCTGCCGCTCGCTAAATAGGCCATTTAGCAGTCTTCTCCCCATGCTTTTCTCCTGAGCACTGCCGGGGGTGCTGGAAAAGCGGAGGGCAAGTCTTTGTCTGACGCCAAAAATGTCTTCAGTGAAGAGGCCGAGAGGAAGGGTAAGTGAGAGCCTGAATGAGTGGGAGGAGGAGGGGTTCTTTGGGCTAAAAGGCTAATGGGATTGAATAACCTTCCTTATTACTGGCTGCTGCTGCGGGAGCCGCATCGCCATCTTGAGCTGTTCCCGAGCTGGGTCCGGCTGTTTGTTCCAGCCCCGGGGCTTTAAGGTGGCATCGGGAGCGGCCCCAGCCCTGCCTCCCGCCCCCGCCGCCCATGAGGCACCTATAGGACATGTATCCCGGGAAGTGCACGGGGTTTGCCCAGAAAATGTGCTTGGAAATTCCTGGTGGCTTTTCTTCCTGCTCTAGGCAGAGGCGCGTTTACGGGTGAGAACGTAACATAACTGTTATCTGCTGGGGTTTTGTGTTTGAATAGGAAATTCTTTCCATTCCTCAAAGGGGGAGGGGAGGAAAGCAAAAACATGTCTTCTGGCTGGCTGCAGGAGAAGCTCATCAGCCCCGTAAACAATTCTGCGTCCATGAAACGGGCATTAAAAACCCGAAGATAAAAACAAGTTGCGTCTTTTATCCACGGCATGGAGTGTATGTCGATCTAAATAAAAGAAACGCTGCTTTCTGATCCGTTTATGGATATAGAGCTGTGTAATTTTAGTTTTATTTTATCTTTTGTCTGTTTTTTAATCTTCTTGTTGTTCGAGCATCTGTTGTGTTCGTCACCGAGTTAGCCCTGTAGATCATTCGTCTGCTTTAAGGTAACTGTGATCCTGGTATCCTACCAAAGGCAAAACACTGATGCTGTTACCTTCCAAAGCTCCTAGCTTTTCGTATTTTACTGGAGGTGTTGGACGTGTATGTCGAATGTATGGGAATGCTGCAAAGGTTAAGGATTGGTTTCTTTAATTACAGAGGTGGAGAGAAGGCTGACAGAATTTCAGAAGGATATTTTTTACTGACTTTGAGTACTTGGATTGGTTGTTTAAAACCAACAATTGATGTAGTTATTTTGAAACCCACGCCATTCTGTGGTATAAACTCAATTCCTCATTTTCCATAAGTCCCTGGCAGTTAGATTTTTTAAAAAATGCATATTACTATCTAAAACGTTTGCACTTTTTCTTTATATTTTTAAAATAAGAGGATTTAATTTACTTTTTGTTTCCTGTTACAGCCTCCTTCCAAGAAGACTGATGGTTCAGGATCATATACTAAGTTGCAGAATACCCAGGTGAGGGCAATGTCAGAAAAGAAGCAGAAGAAAAAAACGGACTCAGAAAGTAAACAAGAGAAGGCAAATCGCATAATATCTGAAGCAATTGCAAAGGCAAAAGAGAGAGGAGAGAGAAACATTCCACGAGTAATGAGCCCTGAAAACTTCCCCAGTGTTTCAGCTGAAGGAAAAGAAGAAAAGAAGGGTAGAAAAGTTAAATCCAAACCAAAGGATAAGGAGAGCAAAAAGCCGAAAACTGGTTCCTCATCCAAAATTAAAGAGAAGACAAAAATTGGGTAAGTAGATTAAAACATTGTCTTCTCTTCAGACTGGAAATCCTTGATTAAAATGGAAACTGCTTACTGATAATAAAATGTTCTCCTCCACTGCCTACACAAAATTCTTTATGATTAAGTCCATGTGTGGACTCTCTCATTCAGGAACAAGAATGCTCTGTTTTCTCTTTAGATAAAATCACTGTAGGAGTGTCCTTTTGAAAGGAATTATTTTAAATACATATTCTAAAATAATCTGTACTCACTTTGAAGCATAGACCCAAATATCTTTTATCTAGTTTTGTAATCCATTTTGACTCCAAGTGAAGTTTCTCTGGATTATAAATGCTGTCTTTATCAGTTTTGGCATGTAGTGTCAATACTTGCACTTGATAAACTGCACAGGGAGAAATTGGAAGTTTAATGAATTTGTAAGCAAGAGAATATTCTTACACATATTACATGTATCAAAAGCAAAGCACATACTGAAAATATTAAATTCTGAGAGATTTGTAGTCATCATTCATATCAGTTTAATCTGCAGTCTTAAAAAATTTGCAGATTCGGTTGGGTCAAGCTGGGTGGATACCTTGGCGTGAGGAGCTTTTGGAAGGTGTTAGAATGCTCCAGGGATTTCAGGAGCTGGCTCATCTTGGAACTCCAGAGCTAACCTATGCTGCCTGTTTACTTTTAAAGGAGAGTGTGTGATTCCCAATGTTAAGTACGTCAGTAAGAACTAGAAATGGAAATCTTAGCTACAGTCAGATTCTAATTTTTTTTAATCCATGCTCTTTTTGCAGTAGCAGAAATATTAACTGGCATGTCTCTCAAATTTAAATGTCTCATATACATATGTATATTTTAATGTATGGAGCAGAAATGAATGTTCTTTTAATCAGCCTGTATCTCCGTGTTTTCTTTTTTTCTTCTGGAGATCAGTGCTTTTCTTACATGTTTGAAGTAAACAATTTTGATTAGATATCCTGTATGAAGATTACTGCTCTATACCCAGCTTCATTCGTAAAGTGAACTTTCATGGTGTTAATTTCTTTCTGCTTTGTTTATGTGTATGATGCTGCTTGTAAGTGCACTGAGTAGTGCTTCCTTTTTTTCTCCATCTAGTTTAATGTGGGATTTTGGATGTGTACTTCCAAAGTTGATTTCACTTTCATGTTTCTGAATTTACTCATGTTCTATAGCTAATATTGTTTGGGTCTTTCTAATCAGGAAACTTACACTGTTGTTTACGTAGTGTCAGTTTCATGAAACCTTGTGGTTTGTCTTTAGTGTGCTTTTTATTCATCCTTCTGGGTAATTGACAAAACCTGCCAAAATATCATTGTTATGATACACTACAAAGTTGCCATAATATTTTTACTGGTTTTAAATTAACAAAACAAAAACAACAAACAAAGTTAACTGTTACCTACAACTTATGATTCTGCATTCAGTTTTGTCTTGGCCTTGCTGTGCACATCCCTTAGGATCAGTTTTCAGGATTTCATCAGATGGCGTCAGTTGAGAAAGAGACGTTTCTCAAACTGTGTTTTTAACCATGGTGTTTGATGTAAAGTACATGTAAGCTGCTAGAAGAGTTCCCATTTAATTATGGTCAGTGTTTCATCATTTTGCATTGAGCTGTGAAGGTTTGCTTCCTCATTATTTACCAGTTTAATCAACTAATGCCCCAGTAGCACTCTGCTAACTTAATTATGCTGCAAGGTATTACTTTCCTTACGTAGGTTACATACCTAAAGATGTAGCAGTCAGGTCCTGGCAAGGAGCTGTGAAGAGGCTTCTAGAACCACCCAGTACAAATTTTCATTAATATTCACGGAGTTCCATTTTATTTAGATGGACAGCAGGAAATAAAATGCTTTGAGACATCCAGATATTTAATTTTTTTACCCAAACAGATTAATGTGTTAAACAGATTGATGTCTTTTGTTGAATTAGCACTATTGTATGTTATTGATACAAATACATATCATAATAACTGTTTAGCAAAGAACACACACCGGGGATTTTGCAGAGTAGCAGTTGCAATAAGGCCTCGATTTTTTAAAGGAGTAGTCTTACCAAACTCTTTTTTTGCTTTCTATGCAAATGTAACTGCTGATATTATAGCAGAATAATTACTACAAAATCACTATACTTGTTGTTTCAACCATGGTTAAAAAAATTTTGTGAATAATAAAATTTGTTTTATTCAGAGAAAATCAAAGTTAATAAGGAATTTAGAGGACTAAACAGCTCTTGTAAAGGTTTTATCCTATCTTCCTTTCTTAAAAACCATTTCTTAATGAACCTAAGCACATTCTTGGGATTATTGTTAAGTCAAAATGGTTTTTAAGTGTGTGGGTTGCTCCATTGATTTTCTTGTTACCTTAAAATTAACTTTGACTGAATCTTGGGAGAAAATTTTACTATGCTAAAATAATACCTGTAAAAGACGAGAACGGAAGGGAAGATCTCAGTTCAATGAAAATGTTCTTTTATTTTGGAAAGAAAGATTTTGGAGATAAGTTTAAAATGGGCTAAAAAAAGAATTGAAATTGTTTTTCAATCAATAATGAGAAAAACTATATAAATATATATACATACATATTTGTATATATGGCATTCCTTGTATTTAATCAGAAGACAAAACCTGAAGTCCCCTCATGTTTTAAAAAGATAAATAAATAATTTCCAACTGTTAGAAGCTATTATGAACTAATTTTTCTGCAAGCTGTATAGTCATGAGTGAAATCTTGAAGCCAGTAAAGGTTTACCATAAAAAAAAAATAAGATCAATATATCTTTTTAACAGTACTGGAGAATTTGTTTGGGTGCATCTGCTGTTCCATTTTAGAAAGAGTTCTACTGCGATATGTCCATCCCAGATGAATACATTTTTTTCAGTCAGGGTTTTCTATAGTAAACATTTAATTTACAGGAGCTGTTAAATCTTTTGATTCTGTTTGGATTTGGAGTGCAGAGCAGTGCAGGAGTTGATGCAGAGTTGGGTGTGTTTGAGAACATCTGAAGTCACATGTATGTTTTGGGTGATTCCTGTTTCATTTTTGCAGGCCAACAAAATCTTGTTATATATTGAGCAGATTGCTGCGGTCTGCTCAATATATAACAATAACAATGTTCCTGTTAACAAACAACAACAAATATGTTGATTTTTTTCTTTTGTTTCCTTTTGAGAAATGTCTGAGGAACAGTTTTGATCTGATCTTTCATTTCTGCTTGCAACAAACACAGTCTGTTTAATACAAGTACAGTTGTACCCTTGTAGCCCAGCACTGAAAAACAGCAAACTCTTATTTAGATTGTGATCATGGACTTTGACCTCTTACAGGGCTTTTGTCTGTGTAGCAGTTTCTGTGTTGCTCTGGAGGCGGATTTTCAGAGTTACAGCTGAATTGTAAATGCTGCTCCTATAGAGCTGGAACACTAATTGCTAGATAGACCTTGATAAAATTTCCTGGTAGCCATCAGTTAAAAAAAAAAAAAAAAAGCTTTAAATAGTAATACAGAACAGCTTTTACTGAAATTGAATACCACTCATCTGGGGTCAAGATGAGTTTTAACTACTGTGTCTAGATTTAGGGGGCAGGATGATTTTTCAGCAACTCCTGTTTTTTGCTGCTCAATCAGTTTTTGTTTGGTGGCTTCATGTTAACTGTTTATATTTTCCTTAGTGATACTCTGAGATCTGCATGTACAGGAAAAATTTATAGCATGATTCATTCCAATTTATCATTGCTAGTTAAAAGTGGCTACCAGTTAGTTTCTAGTCAGGGTATAGTTTCTTTCTAAAGGTGAGGGTTAAGGTTTTATATCTCTTGAGCTGTGAAGACAGAGAAATAATACTTATTAATTTTAGTCAAGTCTATTAGAACTGGATTCTGTGGTTACTAAAGTTTCTGTGCCATAAGTATTGGTGAAGAAAAATGACTAAATTATATTATTACCAGGAACATTGTAAGAGTATGACAGAAATTATTAGAAGAATATATGTATAATATATTTAGTATTACCAAATCAAGCTAGCCAGTTTTCTCTGTGTATTGATTACTGATTAAGTTAATTCTTAAAAATTTGCTTTACAATTTCTCTGCAGACAGCAGAACCACTTTTCATATCCTGGCTATTTACTGAGGTGTGTTGACATTTAGGAATCTATTTTAAACCCTTTCATATTTTTGCATAGAACTTGTTTCCCTTTATAAGCTTTTTCTAATTGATTCTACTTCCATCTAAGGTGATGCATATTTAATCTAAAAAGTCTACTTCTTACCACTTGATGTGAAGAATTATGAATTTGTGAACATTCTCTTGTTCAAAAAAGTAGATTGGCATTTAGGTTTTATAGCTCTCAACGTATTCCCACCTACTCAAACATAAAATTAAATATCACAGCCCTGATGAAAAGCAACAGCTCTGCACTGGTGGTGTAAAGGACAATATCAATTGAATACATTTAGGTAATCTTTTTTTTCTTAATCACTGCATATTTAAATAAATAAGTCCCCCAAATTCTAAGAACTCAATTTACAAATGTTTGAGTCAGAGTGGTAGTCCTTCAGTTCAAAACTGCTTCCAGAAGTGGCTGTGTTATTTCATGTGCTAAAAGAGCAATGGTGGATTTTATTCATTAATCCTTGAATTATGTAGCAATGAATCCAGCAAGTGGGATGTGATCCTGTGCACTGCTCAAATGAGTAAATGTCCTTGTTGCCTTGAGCCTCGAAGTAAGTCTTACAAATACTGTTTACAAGCAGGTTTAGTACCCAGGACCCTGACAGATAATCTTTGCTTGTTCATCTGATAGTGTTAAGATGGTCTCTGAAACCCTTAGAAACTCAGGTAGCAACTCAGGAGACTTGTGGAGAGCAGGTGGTTCACCTGTCACACTGATGCTGTATTAAGTGTAAGTACCTACAGCTTGGATCTCCTGGGAGGCGGATGCTGGCAGTTATCTTCATGTTTCATGCCAGTGAGGCCAAGTGCAGGTGAACAGCTCTGTGGTCAGAAAGAAGGGGGGCTTGCTGAATCTTTGAGTTCTGTTAGCTCTATTAAGGTCATTATCTCATGTTATGATTAAAATGGCAATAAATTCAAGATTTGATCATCCTTCTGGGATGTCATTGCATGTGCTGAGCTGTGACTTGGCAAAGTTTTCTCTGCTCTCAGGTTGTCGTTTTGATGCATAAGTTGGGTCTAAGTGGTATCATCTAATGTTTCTATTGCAAACTGTATGAATACAAAGTGGTGTGGCCTTATCAAATAAATAACTAAACATTTGTTCATTTTTTGGCAGTACTATTTCAATGTAGAAGAGCTTGAACTGATGGATGGTTCCATAAAAACTATTAGGAGTTTTTAAAGAGCTGTGCACAATCCAGAAGTTATTAATTTGAAATACAACTGGAGAAAGAGACAGTGGTTAATATTTCTGTGTTAGTATTATTTATTAAACATATGGTAAACGTATAAGAGAAAATGGTTTTATACCAGCAAATTAACACTTATTCAAAAGGATACAGTGTCTTGTTAAGGAAACTTCTATTTTATATTTTTAGCAAAGTTTCTAGTGATAAAGAATTGCTAATACTGTTGATAACGTAGGAGTTTTATTATTAGTAACTTAACAAAGTGCTTTGGCTACAAATGATAATATCTATGAGGTGACTTTGGACACTAATAATTAGTTGCTTGGTGTTTTTTGTTTTGGAAAAATTGAAGTAAAATGATGCATTAAAGGCCAGCTGTACTTCCTATTCCTGACATGCCTAATACATATTTGCTGCCTTTTTCTTTCTATCCTCATTAATATTTCCTTTTCTGCTCTTTGGAAGGCTTTGAAAAGTGTTTATCACTTTAAAGCTATTCAGAGCAGTGACTGTGTTTCCGTCACATTCTCAGCTACGAAACAGAAGGGGAATGGAACACATTCATACTGGTTTTCATTTATAGGAAAGAAGTTGCAATGCTCTTCAAGTAGCGGCTCTTGGTAGCTCTAAACCATGGTTGCAATCTTATGCTAAGGATCAGAACTAGTATTGGCTCATGAGAAATTTTCTTTTTAAACCTTTTTTGTGGTGTAAATTTCTCAGCATCTTTAGTTTGTAATTATAGAAGAAGAAAATATGTATTGAAGAAATCTACAATGTCTAATTTTTGCAATATTTATAGATGTTATGTAATAGGATAAATATAAAATTTAAAAGGCAAGAGAAAGTGAAATTGGAGTGGAGTCTGGTGATATTATTTATTCCATGTCTACAGTGTGCTGTTAACTTTTCATAGAAACAGAATAGATAGTTTCTGTTCAGAACAGTTTGTTTCAGGGTGGAAAAAGGGATTTTAGCCAAGGATCTTTATGCTTTCATGCAGAAATTTATAAACTGGCAAGAAAACTTGTTCACTCAATGAAAATTTTTCACAGAATTGATCCAGTTTACAAGCTTCTGAAAATCATTGTTTTCACATAGCAGATTTTTTTAGAAGTTTTTGGCCAAAATATGAGCAGATTGCATTTTTACTGATAGAAATGTATGACTTTAGCACCATACTGTTGTTCAGCAACTTTTGATAGCAAGGATTATTGTGATTCTGGGCACGGGATCAGAAGGAAGTGAAACTGCATCTATTCCTCTCATTGGCACCATATCCATATAGAGGAAGAAACATTCTGATCTACAGCATGCAGAGATGTTCAGAAGGTTTCAGGGAGATGGTTGTGAAGTACTGAGGGTAGGGAATGCTCAAAGCAAGACACAAAAGCTGACAAATGGAATATTGTGTGTAAGGCTGCAGAAGCAGAGCAGGAGGTGAACCCAAGGAGGAGCTAAAACTAAGAAAAGAGGAGGAACAAATGTGCAAGGAAAGACATAGCTAGAGCAGTCTAACCACAAAATACCCTGTGTTCTAAAACAGAAGGTCCTTAAAATCCTCAGCTGTTCAGCGGATACCACTAGAAGCCGCAGTAAACCCCATATCCCTTAATATTGTACTACTTGAATATTAAAGGACCCTTGAGCCTAAAATAGTAAACCAGTAGTGCATGAAGTGAGAATGGGCTGTGGTTGCACAGATACAAATACTTAACAGAGCAACGTGCTTTTAGGGATTGTTTTAATCTACCATTTCACAAAAGAGGATCAAAATTTGGAACAGATTGCCCAGGTACCTACCAGCTGTCAGCTTTGGAAATAAGTGGAACTTAACTGGGCTGAGCAACATAAAAGAACTCTGAAGTTGGCTTCAGTAGGGACCACCAGTCTTCCTGAGACCTCTTCCATCTTGACTTAAATCTTAATACTTGCTTGATCAAAGAACATTCCGTTATCCTTTTTCTTCAAAAGAATTTAAGAGCAGGGAAAACATACATTGATACTTCTTACCATTTTTCCAAACCCTAAAGGTGCAAACCAGGAGCTTGGTGGGGTGGATATTGTTTCATGAATGATCTTCCAGGAAGTACTCATAAGTTTACCAGGTTTCCCTTTAAATGCATGTTAAATTTTAGCATCTAGAATTCCATTTAACAGCAATTTCAGAAGATCAGTCACAATGTGCCTTGTCTGCATCATTTTGGAATATATTAGCTGATTTGACATATTTGTGACAAGTGCTAATGTGACCCTTAAATTTTATGAAACAAAGTGAGATAAAAATGGAAAAAAATATTTTCCAAGTCCATCACTACAAAGTGTCATATTGGACAAATACCCGAGAATATAAGTCTTAAAATAGAAACCAAGAAAAAAAGAAAGATAATTCCTAATCAAAGCTTGAAAAATGAGGGGGAAAAATGTTCAAACTAACCTTGAAGTCGGTAGGAAAACCAGTGTGTTCATTGCTGAAATAATTTCCTGAGATTATGAAACATGTTTTCTAAGTAATAATTAAACTGAGAACGTCTAATGAAAAGCAAAGGACCTGAATTTACTTGCGAACAAACAGCTCTGTGATTATGCTGACTACAGCTTCATTTCAACCTGCATCCATCAGTGCTGTTCACTTTGTGCTAAAAGTGAAAAAAAATATTACAGTGGAAAATCTATTGTGATTTTGGGGTTTTTTAGCCTTTCCACTGGACAAACATAGTGATTAAATATTGAAAAGCAGTGAAAATAGTCATTGCTTTTGAAGATACACCTGCAATCATTGGTAACCCATGTTGCTTACACTTTCCATAATGTTTTAGTAATTTAAGGTGCTTATGTTCCATGTGAACTGTTAGTCTGGACGTAGTAAATACATGTTCTCTTGTTTGAACACTTGCCAAGAGAAGTAAAAGAGTTGTGTTTAAATCATTACATTCTTACCAATAGTATTCTCCTCAGGTGGCTATTATATTAGATGTTACATTGCTGTAAAATAACTTGTGTTGTCTGCATAAAGACTAAAATCTTGGGCTTTGTTTGTAACATGACAGAAGCATTATTATGCTGGAACACTTAACTCATTTTCTTCTACAGATCTGATCATAAGAGACTATATGGAATATATATCTTAGGACAGCTCTGTCATTATTCTACAATTATGTCATTGTGAGCACATTTAAATAAGTGTATTTGACACATTTCAAATATGCAAAAATATTTTTGCACCCTTTAGTTAGAAACAAATCTTATGAATTGGTATCATGATTTACAGTGTAATCTTTAAATCTAAACAAAGAAATAATTGGTTCTTTTTCATTAGAGTTTAAGTAATTTATTCAGTTGTGAATTTATTCAGTGGTGGTTTTTATCAATGGTGGTTCTGATAGGTTCTAAGATTGCTTACAGATGAAACAGACTTTGGATATAGCTTTGCTTTGGTTTTGCTTGTTTTTTTTTGCCTTTTTTTTTTTTTTTTAAGGGCAAAGAAAGATTTGTTTCCTTCCCTTATTTTTACCATTAAATGACTTACTTAAGCATAAAATTCTGCATGTCAGACGGATTTGAGAGATTTTTAGGTTGTTCTCCACAGTTAATTTTTTTGAGTAAAAAGAAGGGAAGCTGTATTTTGCAATGGTAAAATTTTCATGATAAATCATTTACTGTTGTCATCTGCAGATGGTATCTCTGCTAACTTTGTGTAGTTTATCATTGTCAGTTGATTTAAATGTTGGATTTTGTATTTCTGTCTGTCATGTAAAGATTTGAAATGTGTATGATAATCAGGAATTTATGATAGCATGGTAACTGTAGAGAAGCTCACTAACACTAGTGAACAATACTGTCTGCTGTAAGGTATTTGACACATTACTCATTTTTCAGACAGTGGTGCTATCTGAGTTTTATATTGAGAATATGGGAATTGCTAGTGATTTGATCCTGAAGTTAAACACTCTGGTGTGCAGCAATCACTCAGGGGCTGGGACTTTGTTTCTGACAGAAAGCTGATCATCACCCTGGGCAAAAAGCAGAAAAGGAAAAACGAGTCTTCAGATGAATTGTCTGATGCTAAGCAGACTCCACAGCGGCCACTGAAAGATGAAGACTCACAGGTAAGTAGTTTGTATTCTTCCTGTATAAATTTCTATGTGTTATGTCTACAGGTCTTTTTTTCCCCCTCCAGAAATTTGCACTTCCTTGAATGCAGTGACAGCTACTCTCATACTTCTGTGTGTCTCATAGGTAGAATTTTTCATCATCAGCCACTTTTCTCAGTTGAAAATCAGAAAATCCTACAGGGTAGAATCCCTTTTCCATAATGGGACATCAGTGCCCTGCTTGTATTGATTTAATTTCAATACAGAAGCCCATAGATTTGAGACTGTAAGTACTTACACTGAGCTGGCAGTTAGACCTGAGCCTTACTTTGGCTGAGTGTGAGAATGCAGAGATTGCCTAACAGACGGGACATTTATCATTGAAGCTGGCCCTCTGAGAACTTTTAAAGGGGTTGTTTCAAGTTTTAATGTTGTTTTCTTCTGAGCTCTGCTTCTGTAGAAACGGAAAGAACAGATCTCTTGCAGTGCTGGATCTGAAGGTAGCAATGATCACTATGCTGATAGGCTCTAGTTGCTTGTGGAATACTTCTGAAGGAAGTGCCTGATGAAAAATTGAAGCGGTCAAGTCACTCCCTTGAGGAGTAGTTCTCTTGTAACTTACTTTCTGCAGTTTTTTCTTAGATTACTCTAGAATAATAGTAGTATAGCTAATTATCTCTAAAACTTGTGCACAAAGAACTGTTGATAAGGGATTATATTCTATTTATCTGTGTATTAGTAACAATTATAATTTCTTGCTTAGGGCAATCTCCAGTAAAGTAAGTTTATGTGCTGAAAATGCACAGGTTTTTATCCTGTGGCAATTTCATTTACAGAGGCAAAATCAGTATTCAAAATAAGGTGCTGTTGAGTAAAAATTAATTGCATTGGTTGATGATAGTTGTCAAAAAACAATTATGAGATACTGAATTGCCCTCTGGTGTTTCACAGATAATAATGCTGGAGGGGAAAAGGGATCAGAAGCCATTTCCCAGAATGACTTCTCATTAACTGAAGTGATAGCTGGTCTTGGGTAAAGGTTTCCTGAAAGGATCTGTAACTTTTTGATCATGTTCTGTTATCAGATAGACATAAATTTATAAGCCAATAAATGTAATATAAAAAACTGAAGATCCATTCTTTCCTGGGCATATCATGAAATCACCTGCTCGTGGTGTGAAGGGAAAAGAAGGTAGAGATAATCAGGGATGGTGTGAGAGAGAAATAACTTACTGCAGAATGTCACAGCATTTCCCTGCTCTCTTTGAAGGAACTGGAGAGAAGCAGGAAAGACATAAATTGCTTTACTTCATTTAATTCATCTTCTCTTTAGTTTTCAGACATGTTCATTATTTTATTTTCAAAAGGCTGTTTCTAATTTCTGTTGCAAATAGCTGTTTCAAAGCTCTGGGGGGCAGTTTTAGGCCTTTTTTCCCCCCTAATTCATTTTGCATGCTTAGTTTCACATGAAATGTCTTCTTTCAATAGATGGATTTTTAATTTTATTTTTTAATTTTATTTTTTTTTAATGTGTGGTGCTACTTCATTTTATGTCTTAGATCCATTTATTTATGGCCATAGTTCTCAGCTTGGGGAAATACAAAAGTTTTTTTCCAAACAGCTCAGATTATGTATTAATGTGTTGGAGAACATATGTTGATGTTTTGCTAATCACTTCATACTTTAAGAAAAGACATAGTGAGAAGAATTGAAAATGCCAGTTATATAATCATGCATTGCTCATGTTACCTGGTTGGTTTTTTTTTAAACCTACTTCTGTCAGCAAACTATTATTGATTTAAGTATGTGACATTAATGTGTCTTTGCATTAGAAATTCCTTCTGGCAATAACAGCCAATGCCAAAGACACTTTATGGAAGACCAGCTAATCTGTGTAACTGTGGAAAGCTCATGAAGGAGTTTCATTTTTGCAGCTTCTCTGGAGGCATGGTTATACCCATTTTTTGACTTGTACTATACCTGTAGGTTACTGTTCTGTACTTGTAATGGAGTTGTTAAAGTACAGCTACGCCTTGTACCAGATACCAGCCAGACCATGGGCTAAATTAACAGTCAGGGAGAAAAGTTCCTGTGCTGCAACCTCACTGTTACTTAATACTTGCTCTGCAGGAGCCAGTGTGACCACAGATTTTGGGTTTTGTTGTATTCATAACTTGTTCTCCCAGCTGAGTACTTCACTGTAATACAACATTGCAACCTGCAATGGATTTTCCTGCACAAAAATACCCTTTTCTGTGTAGCTCAATATAATAAATTTATGTCATACAGACTGTTTTGTTTTGCTTTTTTTATTTTTGTGATGATCAGTTCTCTAAAGCAGATTATAGTGTTTTCAAATGTTAGCTGACTAGTTTGATACTGTTTTTATCCAGTGAATCCAATTTACAAATTAATCTTGTGTTTAAATAGGCAGTGTCTCATATATTGGTAACGAGGGGACGGAAGTGTTATGCAATATCCTAATAATCTTAAGTATTTGAAACTGTGAGTGAGAAGGAATTATTTTCTTTGACTGAACATTATTTCTTCAGCTGCAATTTGTTGTCCTCACATTCTTGCAGAAGCCAGAGTGAAAAGTTAGAGAGAGAAGCTGCAAAGCAAGTCAAATAATACTGTTAAACAAGCCTTGATTAAGGTGGAAGAGAAAATACAGACATTAACAAAGCAACAGACTTTATCAGCTATCACATCAGACTTAATCATCAATGTAACCAATATGATGTAGTGAAAATCTTCATAATTTTTTGTATAGTGCCATTTAGTAGAGACACATCAGTGTATTTTATATCTTTCCCTCTGATTCTGGAGTTGGACAGTAACACTGCTGTTACACTGCATTAGGAAATTGCAATTAAAATACTGATGCTCATAGGAGATCTGTTACGCATCTTTGCTTTGCTTGCTCCCATACCCTGGAAAGAGTGTTTCATGTTTGCTTTTGAACTCTAAAAATAAAAGTATCATGTGCTTACATGAAAGAGAAAATAACAATTTAATTAATTAAACATAAGTGGGTAAGAGAGGTACATTATTTCATGTTCATTTGTTATCAGATGTTGTCCTTTGGTTTTCGGTACAGCCAAAGTATTGATTAGAGTGTCCCAGAACATGCAGCTCATGTTAGGGGAAATTTTGGGTAAAACCTCTATCTTTTCTTTCTCCTGCATGGCAGAAGAGAAGATCAAATCGGCAAGTTAAAAGGAAAAAATACGCTGAAGAAGGGGAAGGGAAACAATCAGAAGAGGAAGCAGCTAAAGTTTCTGTTAAAATCAAAAAGAATTCTGCTCCTTTACCTGCTGAACAGCCTTTACAATTATTTGTGGTACGTAAAAATTGGCTTGGTCTGTAGGAACTTTCTATTTGTCTGAAGCAGTTCAGTGAATAAAGCTCCTAACTTGGAATACATTATTATTTCTAAGCCACAGTTTAGTGTGATGTTTTGCTGAGGTCTTAAAAACTGGAAGAAATTACTTGTTACTGTTTTTTTTGTGTTACAAACATCTGCTGACTTAATTGAAGTAAAGAATAAGACTAAGGATGGGTATATCTCAAGTAATTTTTTATGTGTCATAGGCATATGAAAAAGCTCTATTCTAATGTTACTATGACTTACAAAAGCCTCAAATTATTTGGGGGATCTCTGCTTACTGAGGTATTGAAAAAGGACACTCCTCTCCCCACAAACCTTTTAGTCTTGACTGTTCAAACTTACTGTTGAGCCACTCAAGGTAAACAGAGTGGCAGGGAAGAAATAGAAAAGAGTGTTTATGAGATGCTTGAAAGAATGCCAGCTGTTGGAAGGAAAGAAAGGAGAATGATGGTATAATTGGGAACAAATCAGACAAGAGGGAAAGTGACTGACTGTTTCAAGCAACTTGTACAGATCATCTCTGTCTCTGGAACCGCAGCCCCAGTTGTGGCAGAGCCATGAAATCCCATCTGTGCCTCATCTAAGCCCTGCTGGAATTCTCAGCCACGACCTCCCCTCTGATTCCACAGCATGTTTGTTACCTGTGTGCGGGGTAGATAGATCAGACTGAATTTGTCACATGCTGGGTTTCTTTCCTCTTTTTCCACCTGTCTGTCAGAGCTCTTCTTCAGTTATGTATAACTAAATTCTGTGTATGTCCAGTGTATCAGTTGAACTCAGCAGGGGATTCAGAGTGTCTGGCAAGCATCAGAATCCCCAGTGCTTGCACTAAGTGTGTTTGGCAGGTGAGCACTGCAGCTGATGCTGCTTGGAAGTGCCAGACTTGCTGTACTTTTGCACGTAAACCTTTCTGGTACAGACAAGGATTTTAAATTTTACCCCCAGCCTGTTAGGGAATGCTGCTGGTGGAGGTTTACCTTTATTGCGTATCTTCTGACAAGCCACATGTGGTTGAATATTTTAAGCCTGAGAGAGAGGGCAGTTTTATAATATCATTGTTTTCCTGTGTTTATAGGAAAATCCAAGTGAAGAAGATGCAGCAATTGTAGATAAAATCTTATCCTCCAGGGTAATAAAGAAAGAAGTAAGTGTTTGTCATGGGATAAAATTGTTTATTTGAAAAAGGGGTTTGAATCTATCATTTTACATTTCCCTTGAACTTCATTTTCCAGGTATCTGCTGGGATGACAGTAGACACAGAAGAGTTTTTTGTAAAATACAAGAACTAGTAAGTATTAAGAAGTTGTTTCATTGGATGTTTTGACTGAACTGTTTAGTATCGTATTTATATACTCGAGTTTTATATTGTTTGAAGGTTATTTTTGTCATCTGTTGACATTTTTCTTTACCAGTTTAATCTTTAAATTTCTAAGAATCTGTAATACGGTACTAATAATTTTAAAACTATGAGTATTGTGAAACTAGCGCTGTCCAATAAGCTGGCATCCTTTATTTGCCAAAGAACAGAATTTTTTGGAGAAGGTATTTATTAAATTAGAAGATATATTTATTAAATTCAGTAGGGACTACATGCCTGAGGTAGATTTTAATTTCATGAATTTAAATCATAAGTGTTTTGTGAACCTAGATTAGATTTACAGTGTCATGAGTTTAGGAGATGCTGATGTAGTAGCTGGATTTATTGTTTCAAAAAGAAAGAAAAAAACTTGTGGTAGAAATGATTTTACATCAAGAGCATGAAATTAAAAAAAATTGAAGAAAAAGAACTTTTCCCATATTTTATTTTAAATTTCATAACTATTTCCCTTTCACTAATCAATTCTTGATGCTGAAAATCCAAGCTTATTTTAAATTTCACATATGTGAATAATTTAATCAGATTTTTGCAAAAATAAATGTTGGGGGTTTTTTGAGACTCTGATTCCACATGTTATTTGAGACCATTTACCTTGTGTTTTTCTGAAAGGGTAAAATCTGTCTTTTCATCTCAGAATGAGTAATCCCCAGCTGTACTTTCTTTCTAGCATATCTTTCGAAAGCTTAAAAAATGATGAAAATATACTGGAAAGGGGTGTGAGGAAGAAGAAATATGTGTACTTCTGTAATGTGCTTTCAGAAAGGCTCTCCTGGGGGGCAGGTACTGGTGTTGCTGGTTCCTCCTCTGACTCAGAGCTTCTCTCCCAGCCCAGTCCAGGGCAGGTTCCTCTCTGCCACGGGCTCTGCTGCTCCTCCTGAGCTTTCCATGGGCTGAGCTTTGTGATCCAGCAGTGCCTGTGGAGAGATGGTCACAGGAGGTACATGGGAAAATCAGATCTAATATATGAAGTAATTTATATCTCCAGGTACTTTCTGATAGAGGTGTCAGATTTTAAACTTGACTTGTTTAATCTCACTTGAAATAAGCTTGTTTCTCTTCTTAGGACACATGAAAATAATTTGGGAATCTATAGAGTTCTACAGATTCCAGCTCAAAAACGCTGCATTAACTGTGTGCTGCATGATGATTATTTGGAGGGAGAAATCTTTGATCTTTATGGTGGATTCTGTTATTTTAACTGTATATTAAAAATAGACAGTAAGCCTTTGCTTTCTCCGATGTGTTAATGTCAATCTCTGTGATTTTAGCTCATATCTCCACTGTGAGTGGGCCACAGAACAACAGCTTTTAAAGGATAAAAGAATCCAGCAGAAAATAAAGCGATTCAAAGTAAGGAAAGCACAAAGAGCTCACTTTTTTGCAGATGTGAGTATGAAATAAAAATTAAATAAGCCTTTTTTTTCCTTGTAAAATTGTGATTAGTAGTTTGCTTTTATATAAAGGAGCTGATTGTTAGGAACTAAAAATGAGCCATTGGTGTTGGTAGCAGCAGGGGGTGGGTTATTTAATGTAATTTAAAGAGCAAGTCTTCTGGAGTCACTGAATTAAACTGACTTACATGGTCTAAAAGTGGAATTGGTTGAGTAAGTGGAATTTAAGGTTTGTGCAAAAACCTCAATAACTTCCAACTACCAAATTCATTTTGTCTATGACAAGACTAAGTCTTAGCAAATACCAACTATTTTTGCTTCTCTACTGATTTTATTAATCTTTCACTGCAGATGGAAGAGGAACCTTTTAATCCTGACTATGTTGAGGTGGATCGGGTATTAGAAGTGTCTCTTTGTGAAGATAAAGACACTGGTGAGGTAAATATGTCTTAAAGCAAGTCAGGAAGATACAGCTCCAAATTGTGTTTGACAATTGTAATTTTATCAGATCTCAGAGTAACACTTTAATGATTTTAAAGCTTCAATAGTATTTTTAATGAGGCATGAAATTCTTGTCCTTTCCTGTGCTAGCTCTGGATTTGAAAGAGAAATCATAATAGCTTATATTTTTATTAGTATTACTAGGTCATAGTAGGCAAAGCTTAGGTATTGACTGACATAAATGTGAGGTTCAATAATTGTCTTGTGAGTTCCATCAAAAGGCTGATCCCATATACTGTCATACTGTCCTGTCTCTCTGGTAGTGGCATGGGGTCACTGGTAATAAAAGCTTTAGGCAACCAGTGATTTGAAGTGCTTTGATAGCCACCAGTGAACCTTTCCCTCTGTGTTTATCAAAATTCTTGTTTTTAATTTAAAGTACCTCTCCTGGAAAGCTATTACAGAACAAAAACATTCTGAGATTAAAAAAAAGAAAACAAGAAAGCAAGTCAAGTAATTAAATTGCCAAAGTTCAGAAAGAGTCTGAGACAAGTGGAGATCAAAGACTGAGAAGAAGGTTGTTGATTAAGGCTGTTGTAATATCTATAATGCTTATTCTGCTTGTGTGGATAGCAAAATGAGCAGACTTCTACCCAGTGATTTCTGCATTAATCTTGCTAAAGCAGGGTTGAGACTTAGAATGACTTTTCATTGTATGCAGCAGATTTGTCATTAAACTTTTAGAAAAAAATGTGTTGTCATAAGACTTTCCCCTCAGCTTCTGGAATGATGGCTCTTTATTTGGTTTTAAAATATTTATGTACTGAATCTAAATAAGATAATCTGCTTTGGTTTAATTTTTTTCTGTGTGTTGTTCATCAAACCTTTAAAGCTTTATCAAAGTTTTGTTGGTAAGACCTCTGGTTTAGGAGCTCTGAAGCTCTGGTTTAGACCTAGGTAGCCTGATTTGGGCAGTGGAGGAAATGTCCTGGGTAGCACTTCTGCAGTTTGTTCTGCTGCCCTGCCCCATTTCCACAAATATCACAAATACTCTGATTTATCTTTCCTGAGACTAAAACCAGATTTGCTTGTGGGTAACTGGGGCTGAAAAGCACTCCACAGGTCTACAGAAAGTGGCAGGGTATGGGGAGCCAAGGATAAGTAGGTAAATAACAGGAATCTCTTATGAACATTTAAAAAATTGTCAGAAATGTGCTTTTGATTCCAGCTCTCGTGTAAGCAAGCTACTCTAATAGTAAGGCATATTAACAGTCTGTATACTAAATTAAAAACTGATAACATTCAGAATTTTCTTCTGCAGCCTGTTATTTACTATTTAGTAAAATGGTGTTCGTTGCCATATGAAGACAGTACGTGGGAGCTGAAAGAAGATGTAGATCAAGCAAAAATAGAAGAATTTGAACAATTGCAAGCTTCCAGGCCTGACTCAAGGAGATTGGTAAAATTATATCTAATTTACTTGTCTGTCTTGGTAAATCTGACTTGGTTTTCCCAACTTCAAACTCCTGTATTAAAACATAAGGGTTATTGACATTTTGTGTAAAGCATCTGTGTGCCTTGAAACCTAGGAATAATAAAATACTCAGGTAGGCATAGATAAATATTCTTATCTTAGTTGTTACTCAAAAAAACTAAGCTTTTTATTTAGGAAAATAATGGAAGTACTGTGACTCTGAGTTTCCAGCTGAGCAATGAGCCACTCATTGAAACTGGCTATCACAGGGCAGAGCACCTTTAAAATGAGCAGAATCCAGGATGACATATTCTATATAAACACCAGTTTATAGAGAAGAGAGTTAAATTTTGTGCTTCAGCACTGAAGGGAATTGGCAAATGAGATCTGTCAAACAGGTTCTGTAATTTTTTTCTGCTTTTATTTTTCTTCTTGTCATTAAAGAGCTAGCTGAAAGGAAGAAAAATATGTGTAATAAGGAAATGTGTTTTATCTTGAAATTATCAATCTTCTGTCTCCTAGAGCAGGAGGAAGCAAAATAGTTCTATTTCAAGTCCTGTATGTCATTGTCAGAGTAGGACATGTGTCCTGCGTGGTGTAGTACAACACTTGTTCTAACTTCTTTTACATAACTAAATATGCACAGTGTTTTAATTTGGAGGCCTTGGAATTTATTTTAATGGTTTTTCCATCTATGGATAATGACAGTAGTCACGATTAACATCTTCGTATTATATTGGAGTTCATTTTTGTAGTATTTATTTAAAATCCTGACATTTTGGCATGTGGGAAGAAGAGCTTTTATACCTCTGTTACCATATTTGGCTGTGAGAGAAAAAGATGATTAAAGCGCAACTGTACAACTGACAGTCATCTCAGCATCAGCAACAAGTATTTTTGCTTCAGGCTCCAGCAGCTACAAGAAATTATTTGTTGACTGCAGCCCTGCAAGCAGGAGCGTGGCTGCTCTGGGAGTGGGGGAGTGGACAGATGGCAGCTGGTGGGAGAGGGGAGGAAGCCACAGCTGCTGGGGAGGGACAGCTCCTGCTGCGAGCAGACCTGGGCTCAGGTGATGCTGACGCTGGCAGTGCAGAGAGAGAAAATCCAGAGCTGCCGCATAAAGCCACATGAGTCTCGAGTGAATGCAAGCTTTTATAAATGCTGAGAAATGTGGAGGGAGAAGGGGGGGAAGTACAGCTGGTGAGAAAAGCTCCTACTAAAATTACTTCACTTGAATGTGTGAGTTTGTTCACATTGGGATACAGGAGCTATCAGAAGAGTTTTCTGATGGAATCGTACCTAGTATCAGCCAAAAACTGCATGATTTCATCTCTAAGTTGCCTGATAAGCTAGAGGCCAGGCTGTTCCAGGCTTGGGAGCTCGTGTGTTTACGTGTCTATATACATAAATATTTTATTTGCAGCCTCTCAGCTTTCCTTAGCTTGCAAGGCCCCTGAAGGTGATGCACCTCAATACTCTGTTTTGTCATGGCCTTTGTATCGTGACCTTGCCGATGCTGATGCTGTTTTGATCTGATCCCTTGGGGAAATCCATTCAGGACACTGAACCTCTCCAAAGTTTACTTTCTTGTACTGGTCCTGGCTTCCTGCATTGGCAGTGGGACAGAGTGATCAGCAGTGCAGGGCAGGTGCAGGAGGGAGAGGGCAAGATCAGAGTAATTGTGTGGGTGCCCAGACTGCTTCAGTATCAGCTGCCAGATCTCCTCAAGACTTCAGGGATGTTGTTAACCCCAATACTCAGTTGGCTGTCTTGTAGGTCAGCTGCCTGATCTTAGAACTGCTAAAGTGAAACTTCGTGTAGACTTGAAATTTCATATATAAATGAATCTGTGTGCCATATTATTCCTGCCAAAGTATTTGTATTCTATTTTTTAGAAACCAGTTGCTTAATTTAATTATCATATGGACTTAAATTAATTTTTTAAAATAGCAATTCATAGAGGAAAATAAAGACAAATTTCAGTTTTCTGCAGACTGTTAATTGGTAAGTGATGTTAACAGTGACACTTCACTTCCAAGGTTGAATAATAACATTCTAAATCTAAAGTGGTACACTTGCAAAATAGTGGGGTTAGATATTTTGGAAAAATAAAGCATGTATCAATCTGTACATATATTAATCTTTCCCTTAAAGGACCGACCACCTCCAAACTCCTGGAAGAAGATAGAACAGTCCAGGGAATATAAAAATGGCAATCAGCTCAGGGAATATCAACTGGAAGGACTTAACTGGCTCCTATTCAACTGGTACAATAGGTATATGCATGGAATATTTTTTAATGTTGATTTTAAACACTATGGAGTGAATCCACTTTTATTGGGGATGAATACTGTTTTAACTAAATTTATTGCAGCTTTTCTGCTTTTGGCTAAAAGGATGTAACTGGAACAAATTTCTCTCCCTTTGGGTGTGCAAGGATTTTTATCAACAAAAATTAACAAGATATTAAAAATAATGCAGCTAACATAACTGAAAATAAATTTTCAGTGGCTATGAGGAAATTAAAGCAAAAACCACCAAAGTGCAAACTTTCACAGTTTTTGAAACTGGTAAACACTTTCATCTTTCAAAGTGATTGCTAGAAATAGTATAATAAAGTTACCTCTCTTCAAATGTAAGGCTAGTGAATAATAGCATTATCTGTATTTTAAGCATTAATGCTATGTGTTATGAACAGAAATATACTCACTTGGAAGATCTTTTCCAGAATGACCTATTTTCTCTGTTTATAAATTGATTTTCTGTTAATGAATCTTCCTGCTTACTGTATTTCCAAGGTACCAGTTGCATGCCCCTTGTAGAGATGATGGCAGCAGGTGTAGCATTTTGCCATGCATGTTATTGATCTGCAGAAGGAAAACTGATTTTAATTCTCATTAAAGCAATGCAGAGCTGTGACATTTGCAAACAGAGGGAAGGGCTGCAATGTGTGGCGGAGGGTGAACATGGAGTGATGCTTCATGCAGTAATTTAGTTATAGGCATCTGTCTAGTTCTAGAATCAAAAAGGGTAATTTGTTAATGATGCTCTAATGCACTCTTTTCATGTAAGTGTAGCTGGGATACTTCCCGTATGTGATTTCCAGGGAATCTTCATTAATTTCTAGCAGTTTTGTCAAGGTGAATGTGCATGTAGGAAACCTACTTAATTTAAATTCATTTAATTAGGGCAAAGGTAGTCCCAAAAGATCACTTCTGGAATATTTTTGTAGAACTTCATGGAACACTGCATTCTCAGGTTTTGACAGTGCTAAACTTAATGTAAAGTTTTACACAAAGGTTTTGTGCACATTCTTTCACCTTAACCAGGGAATGCTTTCAAGGATCTTTTTGCAGTGCCTCAGTTTTGACTGTTGTTGTAAACTGGTATATTTGAGCTTTGTTTCTGTAAATCGTTCATTTTAGTAATGGCTTTAGGGTCTGTACTTTCTTTGATGACAGTAACAAATAAATATTTTTTGCTTTCAGGCGAAATTGTATTTTAGCAGATGAAATGGGCCTTGGCAAAACCATTCAGTCCATTACATTCCTGTATGAAATCCTCCTGACTGGTATAAGAGGCCCTTTCCTGATCATAGCTCCACTTTCCACTATAACAAACTGGGAGAGGGAATTCCGCACGTGGACTGACCTGAACGTTGTGGTGTACCATGGAAGTATGATCAGCAGGCAAATGATTCAGCAGTATGAGATGTACTTCAGGGACTCCCAGGTATTGTAACATCACTTGTGTGCAATAACTCACCCAAAACATGGCTCAGGTGGCAGCAATGACAAGGGTACTCGACATTATCTGTGTGTTTATCTGGGCAAAAGTCACTTCACGTTCCAGGATGTTATATATGAGCATCTTCAACAAATGCTTACTGGGTAAATTTAGTGGCAGTGTTTGCAGCAAGATGTGTGTGTTGTTTCACTGTGCTGAGTAATTTTGCAATTGAATAGCAGTGACGCTGGTACTCTTGTGGAGATTAAAGTGTACACAGATGGTTGCAGTTGGGTCCTGAATTTGAAGAGCAGGGAGAAAAAAAATAATACTGATTAAGCTCTGCTACCTTTATGTAGCTGATTTCCTTTTGCTGCTGTTAACTGTGTACAGGCTGAACTTGCTTGTCTGAAATACACGCCATTAAATGACATGAGAAAAACTTGAAACCTGAGTATTTTAAAAGGTTTTTTTCCCTTTTTTATGTATTTTGCATAAATAATTATTTTATTGCCATGGTATTTCTTCAAAATTTATAAAGCTGACAACTTTTTATTAATTAGTGCTAAATATCAAAATGACATCGTGTTTGCCTAGTGAGTTATTCTGTACTGTCTTGTTGTAGGCCTTACATGTTCTCTTTGTCAGACCAATGGAGTAAACTGGATTAAAAGTTTTCATTTAGTTAACAGGTGATAGATACTGTGATTACTTAACTGTATGACTGCTAAATGTATTAACATCATATTTTGATTGATCAACTGTAGAATTTTTCCTGTCACACTTCAGATTTTCTCAGTGTTAAAAAATGGGGTTTTATCTACATGCACCTTTTGAAACAGTTCTATTAGATGTCTGTATTTTAAAAGGGATTCAATTTTTTTCTCTTGCTTAGATAATACTGGATTTGGGTCCATGAATAATTACTTGTTAGTATCAGTTAGAGAGTTACGAAGATTATTAAATGTGATGACAAAGCAATTTAGAATGTAAAATCCAGTGTCTGGCTCCTGGCAAAATTTCAACAACAAAATGTGTAAATTGAGTAGATGGGAGGGAATGTAACAAATTGTGTGTGTTGATAAATTTCTAGGGCCGTATTGTTCGAGGTACCTACAGGTTCCAGGCCATTATCACAACTTTTGAAATGATTCTTGGTGGGTGTCCAGAATTAAATGCAATTGAGTGGCGGTGTGTTATTATTGATGAAGCTCACAGACTGAAGAACAAAAACTGCAAACTTTTGGAAGGACTAAAATTAATGAACCTTGTGAGTAGCTATAGTTCGCTTTTTGGGATTGATTTTAGTTCAGTATGATATGATAAGAAATTAAACATTTGTTTTACATGGCAAAAAAGACCTCTAAAGCAGTGTTTCTTGAGAGATAACTATTCCTGATACTCTTCAAACATATGTGGTTTTGATAGCTTATGATAGTATATTTGTGATTAAACAAAATGTGGCAAGTTCTCACTGTAAGCACAATCTATTTCTGATGATACTGTTGTATAGTTTTTGTTTTGATTAGGATGAAAGTGTCATTTAAAATTTGCTTCAGTTTTTGTGCAATGTGTTAAAATTTAGAAAGTATTTTAAGGAAGTTATTTAACAATAAAAGCACGCAAGTAGTAGAATTTTAAACAGACTGTCTAGTCCAGTAGTTTTTATTTTGTACAGCTTAAGAGTTTTAAAAGCAGATACTACCATGTATCAGATGCACCATGACTAGTTTTGCATTTTTTTTTATTGCTTCATTATTACTTTCCTGTGTGTTCTCAGAAGTCCTCTGAGTTGCTTTCTGATACGTGCTCAGTGTATATTTTTTGCGTTATGGAGAGGGAGGATTATAAATATGTGAATATTACAGGAAAAGTTGAAGTGTTCACTCATTCCTTCATTACAGATGTGAGAAAAGGAAAGCTACTAGAAAACACTTACTGGTGTTTTTTTAATAAATCTGCTTATCTGTATTACCTGTGTACTTAGTGACATACAAAACTGGTTTTTTCAGGTTTTGACTTGACACAAACATTTTTGCAAATGTGTGCAGATAAGGTTATGTAAGGTTTTTTTTGCCTTTTCTAGGAGCATAAAGTGCTGTTAACAGGTACCCCACTGCAGAACACAGTAGAAGAATTATTTAGCCTCCTTCATTTTCTGGAACCATTGCGTTTTCCTGCTGAATCTACATTCATGCAGGAGTTTGGAGACCTTAAAACAGAGGAACAGGTATGAGTCCATCTGAGCTTTAGAGTTTAGAAAGGGAGTGCCTTTTCATTGAGCTTTTCATGTTCCAACAACCAGTTGTGCTTCCTTTAGGTTCAGAAACTACAAGCTATCCTGAAACCCATGATGCTCAGGAGATTAAAAGAAGATGTAGAAAAAAAGCTGGCTCCTAAGGAGGAAACCATAATTGAAGTAGAACTAACTAATATTCAGAAGAAATATTACCGAGCAATTTTGGAGAAGAATTTTGCTTTCTTATCCAAAGGAGCAGGGCAGGCAAATGTACCCAATCTGGTTAACACTATGATGGAACTCAGAAAGTGTTGTAATCACCCTTATCTCATCAAAGGTAAATACAGGATAAGGACTGAATTTTGTTTTGACTTATTTTTTTACTCATATTTAAAATATGTAAGAATTTTATAACATTTCTTCGATGTTTTCTTCAGATTTTCCAAGGATTGGATTAGATGGAAACATTTTTTTGATAGATACCAGACAAAGTTGTGAGACATTTGCATATTTTAGGCCTGAAGGTTGAACTTGTTCTGTAGGATTTCACAGAACATTTAGAAGCAATTATCTCATGGAAATGGTACAGCTCTTTAAAAGCAGTATGAACAAGAACGTTTAGGTCTAAGTTTTAAAATGAATGTTTCCTTCGAGTGATATGATCTCTGTCAATCTTTGTTGTTTTTCTCACTTACTAAAACAAGTGTTTTTCCTGACTTGAAAGAAAATACACTTTATGCTCCAAAAGTTTTGGCCATGGTTTCAGAAGTAGTATTCAAACCACTGTTTTTTTGCAAAGACCCATTTAAAATATCACAAAGACAAAATAACTTTTTTTTTTAGTAGGTTTTTTGCATACAATACTTGAGAATATGTATTTCAGTTTTTGAAATTTGAAGGGGGGGATTAACCTCATTCAGGGTGGTTTTTCTGTGGTGTTCTGCTTAAAATCTTAAGACGTATTTTCAAAGCTAATAAAAGTAGATGTTCTTCCTTAGACTTCAGATCCATGCAGAACTCTCTTCTGTCTCCATCAGTGCCTAAAGGGGGATATTTAGAGTACAGCACTGATTTTGGTAACTTAAATTTGAATGTATGTGTAGATACATCCATAGATAAGGATTTGTATTCTTTGATAGGTGCTGAAGAGAAGATCCTCGGAGAGTTTAAAGAAACATATAGTCCAAGTGCTCCTGACTTCCACCTGCAAGCAATGATACAGTCTGCTGGTAAATTGGTTCTTATTGACAAGCTTCTTCCAAAAATGAAAGCAGGAGGCCACAAGGTCCTTATCTTCTCTCAAATGGTGCGCTGCCTTGATATTTTGGAGGATTACCTTATACATAAAAGGTAAGATTCATGTTCTATATCCTGTAGTATATCGTTCTGTGTGAATGGTAGTGCAGGATTAATTACAGCAGCCCACCACAGCTGGGAGTTCTGTTTTCTTTGTTTGCTAATCAGTGTGTAACTTTGTCTTCTGTGATTGTTTGTTCACAACTAATTAAAAACTTCAGAGAAAAACTAAAAGAGAGGTTGTCCAGTTTGAGTAAACCATGTGCCTTCAGTCTGTTGCTTTTTCCATTAAACATTCAAATATGTATATACTGTTTTTACATCTTCTGTCAGAAACCGGGTTCTGACAACCTGATAAGTTCAAGCTTACTGTCCAAAGCCCAGGAAGCACCAAATGTGTTCTTTACTTAGATGGTGTTGGACTGTGACCAGATAGGTCCAAGATACAGTTTCTTACATCCAAAGGAATATAAACACAAAGTGTTAAACAACTGGGGATGTGTTTGTTATTAATGTAAAAGTGCAAATGTTCTTCCTATCTTTTCTAAATTGCCTGCTTTGAATTTTGCAGCAGAGCTGAACTGCCAGCCATAAACCTGCTCCTTAGGCTGGCTTTTGCCATCACATGTAATTGCACCCTCTGATTATTGCAGACTATTGACTCCATGGAAACTAAATGCTGATTTGAGCATGTGACTCTATAAATGCATAAAACCTTAAACCTAGTTACAATTAGTAGTTGCTGTATCAACCTTAAAATGTATGAAAAGGCATAGTTCTTGTTGTTTTACCAGTGGTTTTGTTGCAATGTACATACTGCTTTGAGGTGTATAATTGTACTACTACATCATAGTAATACCGAGTTAATGTCTTGAAAACCAAAAATTATTAATGTTAAGCCTTCCTGCAGTGGATGCTAGAATACTGGGTAGTAGATTATTTTAATACCTGTTTTAGTGATAGTTTTATATGAAAGCTGTCTGTTAGAACTGGGAGTGCAACAGTTTCTATGTTTTATTTTAAAAGATTAATTTTAACTTCATAGTAGTACTTATAATTCAGTATGGAAAATGTTCCTTTTTCTGCAACGTTCATTTAGACCAGTGAATCATATCTACAGCTGGAATCTTTTGAAATCCATAGAAGCTGAAATTTGCTGTGTGCTGCCATTTGATTAGAAATGTTGGAGTGCACACATGATCAGACTTAGCACTTAACAGAATTCAGGCCCGTAGGAGATAGATGGCTGCCTGCCAGAATGCCTGTGGTCCTGTGGATTATCTGCTGTGCCATTTTATAGCTGATGAGATGAAAAATGGTTGTGAGGCTTTTTGACTACTAAATACACATTCAGCATCTTACTCAGTTTACAAGTACAGAAGTATTTGCTCCCTTTTTAAGCGTTTTGCTTCATTTCAGAAGTTTCAAAGCAGTCTTTGTAATTGTCTAAGGTAACAAATGACAGTTTTATTTTAGACTTGAAAATTTGCGGGGTTTTGTCTAGGAGACCTTGATACTGTTTAAGGTGTTGTTACGTCGTTTTTGTTCCATTTCTCTTAATATTTACAGAATCAATATGCAGTTTGTCCAATGACAGCTCACCAAGTTCTGGTTTCTGCTAATTGCTTGGCTATCCTTAATGTGTTCAGGCAATTTGGTATATAATACAGGTCTGCTGTCCTGCTTCTGTGACCCTAGACAGGGATCCAAGGATAATATGTGAAAAACTTGAGTGTCTACATAGGACTTCAGGTTAGGGTGTGTTTTAATGCAACTAAGTAATACAGGTATAATCAGGCAGTTGCTTAGTGGACAAAATGCAGAAGAACTCGTCTTAGAATGCTCAGTGTTTGGACCTGCTGATGTGCATTGGTACTACAGCTCTGCAAGTTCTGACATGACTCCTTGTTGTGTTACCCACTGCTAATCAGAGTTAGTCTTTATCACTTTCATTCGCTGTGAAGAGCAAATATGTAAGCAGTAGACCTGTTCAAAGGATTCTAAATCATAAAGCCGTTTGTAACGCTCTGTGTATGGTGTGTGTGGCCATTTGCAGGTATCTGTACGAGAGAATCGACGGGCGCGTGCGAGGGAACCTCAGGCAAGCTGCCATCGACCGCTTCAGCAAACCAGACTCGGATCGCTTCGTCTTCCTCCTCTGCACCAGGGCTGGGGGCCTGGGCATCAACCTGACTGCTGCAGATACCTGCATCATTTTTGACTCTGACTGGAATCCCCAAAATGACCTGCAGGTAAATTCCTTTGAGCATGGTAGAGAGCCCTAATTAAACCCGATGGATAAAAATTTCAGCGCTTTGAATGTTGTCTCTGTTTGAACACACATAATTTTAAAATGTTCATTTTTTTAAGGCATGTGTTTAAAGTTTTTGATGTCTGTAATTCAGAATAGATTTCATTTGGTTGGGAACTTCTCTTTCAAATCAGTTACTTTTGAAGAACACAGCACAGGTAAAGTCAGTGATTTGGTAAAACCCTTAAGAATTGATGACACTGTAAAACCAGGAGCTATATTTTGCATGTACTGACTAACACAGTTGGAACATAATATACTCAATATACATATATATGGAATATACAGAAAAGGATTAATATGCATTAAGAAAAAGTGAATTAATCAAATCTAGGAATTGGATACTGACATTGAAATAATTCTCAAGTTGCAGCTCCTTTTCTGTTTATATCAGGAGATTAGCTAACTTAGGAGCTAGCAGGTCTTTATGTCTGGTGTTACTGCAAGGCAAGTACCAGTCGGGAGCATTCAGCACACGTCATTCTTCTGCAGTTTTTTTTGCTATACTGTGTTTAGAAAACTGTTCACAATGTGGAAAATGTCTGATAGCTTCTCTTTACTTACATGTGTGTTGACTCCTTTTGAGTTCATGCTCTTGTTTTTGGATTGGGCTACAGCAGAAAAAGTTTTTAAAAGATCAGTATGTTATTCCTAGCTAAGTGTAAATTCTAACTGCCCTCCTCCCTTCCTTCCAAAGGCTCAAGCCCGATGCCACAGGATTGGTCAGAACAAAGCAGTGAAGGTCTACAGACTGATCACACGTAATTCCTATGAGAGAGAGATGTTTGACAGAGCAAGTCTGAAACTGGGATTGGATAAGGCTGTCTTGCAGAGTATGAGTGGAAGAGAAAACAGTGTTGGTGGTGTATGTAGATTTATTTCCTGAAATAACCTTCCTTTTGCTTTTGTAATCATGTGGGAATTACTTTAAATTACAGAAGCTGCCACTTTTCTCTTTTTCTGTCATTTACATTTCCATTCTGTTTTCTGATGTGGACTAGCAATATAGTTGATATAATTTTAAATCTTGTCAGTTATTACTATTTTTTTGCTTCATTAAGTTCAAGGTAGATAATGTCAAAAGTTAAAACAAGGAGAAGTTTCTCTTTGTTTCCTTGTATCTTCTCATTTTAAGATAATATGTTACTTTAAGTATGGACAGGTAATTTTTTTTAAACATGCACATCATGGTGTTGAGAATAACCAAAAAAAATAGAGAGGCATACTTGTAAAAATGTGTACTGTAAGCACCTAATTTATTATTGCAGCTGTCAGCTAGACCTTTCTCTCAGCTTTTAATACTCCAGATTAGGCTTATAGATCATAAGGCACAGTTAGGTTGTGGAAAGATGGGAAAGCAGCAGAGTTCAGGGTTTGTTTTTTTTTTTCTTGACTGTCTAAACCTGATTTTATTTGCTTAGATCCAACAACTCTCCAAAAAAGAAATAGAAGACTTGCTTCGAAGAGGTGCCTATGGTGCCATTATGGATGAAGAGGATGAAGGCTCCAAGTTCTGTGAGGAAGACATTGACCAGATTCTGCAGCGTCGGACTAAAACCATCACAATTGAATCCGAGGGAAGAGGCTCCACGTTTGCCAAGGTGCAGAACAGCAGGGTGTTCTGGGACATTAAAGAGCTGTAAATGTCACTGGGTGTTGTAGAGCTTAGGCCTTATTTTTAAGTTATGTTTACTTGTGTTTAATGTGTGTGTGTGTGTGAGGTGCGTATTTTGTGTTCTTGCATCTGGATGCTTATGTTAACATGCTCTTAAAAAATCAGATTGCCACAGATTCTGTAAACACCAGGTGTAAGGAGCATGCTTGAGCAAAGATGAGTAATGAATCTGTGCTGCTTTGGAAAAGGCTGGGGGTTGTGTAATGAGTTGCATTAACCAAGAATATTTTTTTAAAAATTGTTTATAGATCCATTTATATCTAGATACATTAAGGGGAAAATATATATGACAATAATTAATAAGGTTAAAAATTGTCAGGCCTATTCTAAAAATGCATAAACAATATATTTTAAACCTTGAGCTTTTTGGTAAGAACTGAAGAAGCAAAATAGCGAATCTCCTAAAATAGCAGTGAGTGGAGATACATATATGTACATGGGAATGAGGCTGAGAGTGTAAATATCAAACAGTAAAACTGAGCTTGGGGTGTGAGCACTTCATGAATGCAATTGTGAGAATTCCAAAAGAATTAAAAAGGCAAAGGAAAAATTAAAATAGTGTAAATGTATATTTATATTCTTAAACAGCATTATTTAAAAATATTTATTTATATGTTTAATTTAGTTTTCTTATATCTTGCTGATTATGGCTTAAATGAGAAGTAGATTTTTAAAGATCATCATCACTGTCTTTTTATTAGAAGAGTTAGAAATTTTTATATGTATTTACTCTTTTCCCAAATGCAGTGTATCAGGGTTTTTTAAATGCCTTCTGAAATTAAGCCTATTCCATGCACTCAGGCTTTGATTGTTGGCAGCTTAAACGCCCCTTTGAAATTTCCCTCAAGCGAGTACTTCTGTATGAGATGAAATCCCCAAATGCTGATAAGCCTCTTCAAAAGATTCTTTTTTTCTTCCATTCGAGTAATTTAGATTCAGACTTAGAAGCAGAAAAATCTTGCTGCTTAATGTTCTTCTCTCCTGATGGTGCATAAAAGTTCATTAGATTTTTCTGATACATTATGGATCTGATTTTTAAAAATTAAGGGGGAGGAGAACTTTTGAGTTGCTTTGCAGTGTAAGTAACTTTTAAAGTCTTAATAGCTGCTTGGGAGATTTTTGATGAAATAAGGTCAGGCAATCTTCACAGCAGTGAGGCAAACTACAGACTTCTGATGTATAATGTTGGTAAGCTTTAGTTTTATTTATTACAGGCTAGTTTTGTTGCATCTGGAAACAGGACTGATATTTCACTAGATGATCCCAACTTCTGGCAGAAATGGGCTAAAAAAGCAGAAATAGATATTGACGCTATCAGTGGTAGAGTAAGTACTTTTTTAATGTGTGTTTTTTCAAGTATGTTCTTACTGTTGAATTCTGAAATTGCAGGTATGGGATTTATGTTGCTTTTTGATTACTATTTCAACAAATCAGGCTTTTTTGTGCTGGCTTATTTGTGCAAGAGCAGACAGCCTGCTGACAGCTGTAGTATTTCCTATTTCCCTTAGTATTTCCTATTTCCCTGCTGTCCAGAAAAAAGTTAGGACATTTGTGACTTTTGTCAAAGACCAGAAAATGACTGAAATTGTGGAATTATTCTGATTTCCCCATTTCTCTGTCTGTAAATCTTGGACTGGAATCTGCAAAATATGTGACTAAGACCTGTGTAAATTTTGTAATACTGAAATCTCTGTCCTATACTTGGAGACATTCCCCATGCATTTGATTCAAAGAAGTTTTAGTGCCCTTTTCTCTCACAAAGACTGCAGAGTAGTCTGTGTAAGTGTTTAGCTCAGAAGAGATACTCTGTGTTTTTGTAACTAATGTACTGGCATTAGCATATGAAACTCATTTTTTGATGCCTTAAATACCACAAAATGTTTTACTTGCTCCATGGGTATTCAGTGTCTTTGTGAAATAGCTGTGAATGACAAGAGATAGGAATTATTTCTGAACTAAAGCCATGTACTAAAGAAAAATTTGCCAACTGTTTCTCTCATGAGGTTTGTTTGCCATTTTGCAGAACAGCCTTGTTATTGATACCCCAAGAATCAGGAAACAAACACGGCCCTTCAGTGCTACAAAGGATGAGCTGGCAGAGTTGTCCGAGGTGGAGAGTGAGTGTGATGAGAAACCAAAGCTCCGCCGGCCGTGTGACCGTTCCAACGGCTATGGAAGGACAGAGTGCTTCCGTGTGGAGAAGAACTTGCTGGTCTATGGGTATTGTGTGCATCCTTCTTCATTCTGTGAAATGGTTTAAAAATACCGCTTTGTCCATGTCGTAAATTTTATTTGTGGAATAACTTAACTCTGTATCGTCAATAACCTGATGTGTGTGCAGAGAATGTATTTAGAACAGGAATTTATCTTGTACCCTGTAATAAATCTTCCTGACAATTTGCAATTAAAGAAACATTAAGAAAGAAGGGTGAAAATCTTTCTTCAAATGAGATTATAGCATTTTAACATGGGCACTACAGGAGTCTCTCTTAAAGTCATTATTGTAAGTGCTGCAGGCAGGCTCAAGACTCCTTAAAAAAATGTCTGAAATAAAGCCTTTGTTGGTAACTTGATTTTCATAATTGTAGAACATCTTGCACTTCTGTGAGGCACAAATAGGAACTGAGAATCTAACCAGTTATTTTAAGCATACTGAAATCAGATAAGTTGATTTGGAAATCAAATATTAGGTCTTCCTCACCCATCTTACAAGAAAAATAATAGCATTCGTGCAAGAATGAGTTCCCATCAGTTTTGTGTCTGAAGTTTAAAACAACCATCCACCTTTTTTGTAAAGAGGCACTTTCTGTTTAGAAGTCTGTTTCAATCAGGTGGAGGAGTTATGTTGCAAATGTTACTTTATTATTTTTATTCAGTAGCTTAAGCTGAAACAAAAGCGTTAAAAGCTAAGTATTTCTAGCAAAAAATTCTTTTTTGTAGAAGTCTGTAGCTACCCCAGTGTTTCATTTCCAGGTGCTGATTTCTGTTTCACTTTGGACTAGGTGGGGTCGATGGAGAGAAATTCTGTCCCATGGTCGCTTCAAGAGGCAGCTAAATGAGCAGGATGTGGAGATAATTTGCCGAGCCCTGTTAGCCTATTGTCTCGTTCACTACAGAGGGGATGAGAAAATAAAGAGTTTTATATGGGATCTCATCACCCCAACAGAGGATGGGCAAACACGAGAGTTACAGAACCACCTCGGTAAGGATTTAATGTGTTTCTGCACTTAAACAGCTTCATATATGTGTGCCTGTGATACTGGGATAAAAACAGCTAAAAAGCCTCTCTGAATGCATCCTACTTGAAATAAATGAGATTTATTTCAAGCACACAATTCAACTGATGGGCAAAGAAGTGTCATAGCTGCTTTGCGTTGGATTTGATGGCTTACCCAAATGGTGCTTTGGTGTGAATTTCATTTCAGTTGATAAGAACCTATTCTGTTTCACTGTATGTGACAACACAGTCCTCATTTCCCCCTCTCCTATTTGTCCTTACTGGTCATGTGTACTCCAGAGATGACACAAAAAAGACTCAGAGTGACTGATGTGAGTGTTGTTCCTGCACTGCAGGTCACAAGTATAGGATATAGGAACTGTAGCTATTGTGGCTATCTATATCTATAATTTTAATATTTTACATTATATAGGCTTATCAGCCCCTGTGCCTAGAGGAAGAAAAGGAAAAAAAGTGAAGACCCAGGCTAGCACTTTCGATATACACAAAGCTGAATGGCTTCGAAAATACAACCCAGAACATCTGTTGCAAGATGAAGGATACAAAAAGCACATAAAACACCATTGTAACAAGTAAGCTGTAGCTGAAGTGTGAATGTCCTTGATATTTTTCTTCTAGTTTCTCATTTTCATAGACTTTAAAATAGTTGTGGCAGTAGGAAGAAAGATGTTTTTAATGGTATTAGTTTGATTAGAATAAATAGAGAATAAATAGATTGTGGTGTATTTGGAGATGAACAGATGATTTCACATGTAAAATAATTTTTGAACTGGTTTTGTCTGTGGAGAGATTTGCTAACATGTTTAGGATGCCTTGCAGCAGCCAAAGGACTAAGGAGTGGGAGTGCTTATCAAAGAGACTGAAAGCACTGAAGTTGTTGCCCCTCAATCTTACATGCTGTTTCCCTGGCACATTTTCTAGTCTTCAGAGAATCTGAGCTACTAGCTTGTGAAAGCTTAGTCATTCATGGCAGTGAGCTTGGTTTAGATAAATTACTTTTCTGTAGCAAAACTTCTCATATTCTGCTTGGGCAATTCATACAGTGTAGTCAAGAAGTGAGATAAAGCATGGAGAAGTCATTGGGGTCACACACCAAATTGTGAGTGAGAAGGAATAGAAAGAAAGGTTAAGCGGGGGGATGTTCACTGTCAGCCCACTTAATCCTCTCTAAGGGCATGTTCTAAGCAGGAAAAGGGAAATAGCAGTTTATTCTTAGCAATATTTTGTGAAGCAAGTGAAGAGTTTTCTGCTGACCCTGGTCTTCAGGATTTAAAAGAAATTTTGCAATGAAACAATTTGTAAATGTGATGGCAATAAAACGTCTTAGCCCACCTGAGCTGGATGTTAAAACAGAAGGCAGTATATTTTAGGAAAATGACTTGGAATCTCTGTGATATTACAAAAAACAAAACAAAACCATCCACAATTATTGAAAGCTTTTAGAGCTCATATATCTGTATTTCTCTTTTTTCTTTATTTAGGGTCTTACTTCGAGTAAGAATGCTGTATTACTTAAAACAAGAAGTCATTGGTAATGAATTCCAAAAGGTCTTCGATGGAACTGATGCCAGGTGAACTATAGAGTTTTTTTACTTGTTTATTTCAAATGTCAGATGAAAATTCAAGAATCTGCCTAGACCTAAATAAGACACATTAAAACTAAATGTGTTTATCCTTAGGCTGTGAGGAACATGTTTTTGTTTTCTCTTTGTTTACTAAACACTTCATCAGCTTGACATGTGGTAGTTCTTATTCCTCTTTATGAGTCTAGCTATATAAAGTAAAATAATATGAGTCAAATAGACTGAAGAAGTGAATGAAAGATAAATTATGTACTTGACATGATAATTGGCAGGTTTTCCCATGCTTTTGATTATGTGCTGTGTATTCCATTAATGCCTTTAATTTTTTTTTACTTATTTTTTTTTTAATGCAAGTATTGCTGTTTTGAAATTCTTGAAGTCACTGCTACATGAGCTTGTGGCAGATAGAAAGTTGTAATTTGATTCAGAAATACTAGTGAGCAGTCCCTCTCATGCTATTAAATACTAACACAAGATAATCCTTGGTTTGCAAAGTTGTGCAAGCACAGGCTCCTGGGAGCTGGTGAAGCTCACTGAGGGAGGAGGAATGTTTTATACTGGTTTTGCTTTGGTATTCTTTCCCTGTTACTGATCTCAAATACGAAATACCAAACTGTCTGGGTGTTTTGTATTGCTGGTTTTAGGGTTTTATTTGTGTGCTTGAAGAGAGAAGTTTAAAGTCCCACATAAAATAGAAGTGTACTAAGAAAATATAAAAAATTATTTTTTCCTCTGAATTCTGTTGATGTTGGTATGCTCTTGGTGATTCTCTTTAGTGAAATTGATGTTTGGGTTCCTGAGCCAGACCACTCTGAAGTTCCTGCTGAGTGGTGGGATGCAGATGCAGATAAATCTCTCCTAATTGGAGTTTTTAAACACGGTGAGTAATGAGGGTGACTGTGTGTGCACTTTCCCACTTCCCAATATAAAAACAGCCTACACTCAATATTTTTGTTTGTTTGTTTACTCTGGAAGTTGAATTTTTGCCACTCTTTTTCCTTTATAGGTTATGAGAAATACAACACTATCAGAGCAGACCCAGCTCTTTGCTTCTTGGAAAGAGTTGGAAAACCAGATGAGAAAGCAGTTGCTGCCGAACAGAGAGCAAATGATTATATGGATGGGTATGGAAAGGAATGTTTTGGGGCCTTAAAGCAAACAAATTTGAATTAACATGCTGTACTTCATTCTCTTCCTAACTGGTTTTACATGAGTTTGGTGTCATTGTTGTAAGGAATACAACTTTGATTTTACTCCCATAGGGTGGAAGAGAGGAATGATATAACAACTACTGAAGTTTGGGAGTTCACAGTTAAGGGAAAAATGCAGCAACTTACTAACAAGGATTCTACCGTGTGTTGATTTATTAAAAATACTACTTAGACACTGAAGTGCAAAAGCATTCAGAGGTGAAGTGCTACAGACCTGTTTAACTTGATTTCAGGTCAGCTTTTGATGTCTTAGTCTTGTGTAGCTGACCAGTGACCCCAGTAGATCAATGTGAGAATTACTGATAACTGCTGAAAAAGAGAACTGCCTTTATTCATTTCCTCATCACTGAGGTTTTTAGTTGTGGTTCCAGAGAATACCTTTGAATGATACAGTGAACTGGGGGAAGTAGGATTCAAGCCAAAGCTGCCATGAAATACTGTCTTCATTTCAAACAGAAAATTAAATACAGTATCTTTTAACTTTAAATCAGTTTTGCTTAATTGAAAAAATTGTAAGAACTTTTCAGTTAGTAGTGTAAAATGTTACTAAAATGGCTTCTTTGTGTTGAAATTTTAACAGGGATGTAGAAGATCCAGAATATAAACCAGCACCAGCACTGTTTAAAGATGACATAGAGGTATAGTAGGCACCAATTCATATCTCCTTTTAACACTCAACACACAGTCATTTTAAATGTAATACTTCTAGCTTTTGTTTGAGCAAATTATTACTTTTTTTTCTGTATCTGGGTGGATGGGAATGGTAGGGAATTGTTGCATGGTTCTGTTGTATGCCCTGTTAGCCATTTAGCCAGACTATTTGTTACTTCTGTTCTTTGTCATATTCAGAAATTGTTGTAAGGTGTATGTTTGATCTAAATCTCTGGAGAAATCTGAGCCAGTTGCTTTTGTGTTTTGAATTGTTTAATTCTTGTGATTCGTAGCTAAAACATAGATTACCTTGTGTAGAAAAATTTATTTTTCCCATGACTTGGTTTTCATATAGATGGACAAATGATGGAAGGGGACAAAATCTATTGGCCCACTCAGTCTGCCTTAACAACGCGTCTGCGCCGCCTGATAACAGCTTACCAACGAACAAGTAAAAACAGGCAGGCCCAGCAGATGCAGCCAACATTCCCAGTACAAACCAGTATGATGCAGCTTCCATATGAAGAAGCTGCACTAAATCCAAAGATGGCTGCTAAGATTGAAAGACAGCAAAGGTATGTGCAGCATGCAAATGTACTGTTTTAATCTGCCCTTATGTAAAAAATAGTAAAGACTTAACATGTGAAACAGTGAAGAAATTGACAGAATTTCACATATTTTTTCTTGCTGGTCAAGATGGACAAGAAGAGAAGAGGCTGACTTTTACAGAGTTGTGTCCACATTTGGAGTGGTGTTTGACCCTGAAAGGGGACGGTTTGACTGGACCAAGTTCCGAGCGATGGCTCGGCTGCACAAGAAAACTGATGAGAGCTTGGAGAAGTACCTGTATGCGTTTATGTCAATGTGCAGGAGGGTCTGTCGGCTCCCCTCAAAAGAAGGTGGGTGTGTATGTTTTTACTATTTAAATTTGTGTTGTCAGTGCTTAGCTTGAAAAGGTTTTTCTTTCATGTGTTGGAAGATAAAAATGGGGGAGGAAGAATTAAGGAAACAAGTTGCGAGTAAAATTGAAAGCTTATAATGGGGAGACATGCATTAACTGATTAGAGTCATCTACTTAAAGTACTGATATATTGGTTTTGGCAGACTCTCATTTGTTTTGTTTTAATACAGAACTCGTGGACCCAAACATTTTTATCCAGCCCATCACAGAGGAACGTGCTTCCAGGACTTTGTACCGCATCGAGCTCCTGCGGAAAGTGCGAGAACAGGCTCTCAGACACCCCCAGTTGTTTGAGCGACTAAAGCTGTGCCAGCCAAACCCAGACCTACCTGTCTGGTGGGAATGTGGGACTCATGACAGGGATTTACTTATTGGAGCTGCTAAGCATGGAGTTAGCAGGACAGATTATCATATTCTTCGTGATCCTGAACTCTCATTTATGTCTGCCCAGAGGAACTATAATCAAAACAAAGTGGCTCTCTCAAGGACTTCTACTCCACTCTTGCACCAGTACCAGATGGCATTATCTGCTTCTCCTCTTACACCTCAGTCAAGACTGTCAGATGCTAAAGTGAATGCTTTTGAGGATGCAAAAGCTAAAAATGAAAATCTGAAAGAGGACCCTCAGTCTTCTGAAGAGGAATCCATGTCTACAGAGGAGACACAGACAATACTGAAATCTGAAACTTTGAGTCCCAAAAATGGCACCCCAATACAAATTACAGACCACAGACCTAGTGTGAAGGCTGAGACAGACAGGCGCATGGTGGCAGCAAGGACAGAGCCTCTAACTCCAAACCCAGCTTCCAAAAAACAGAGAGTCAGCAAAAGGGGGTCTGACTCTAGCTCTGACTCAGACTCTGACTCAGATAGATCATCCTGTTCTTCCAGGTCATCATCTTCATCCTCTTCGTCTTCCTCATCTTGTTCCCAGTCTCGATCTGGCTCTAGCTCTTCATCATCTTCATCTTGTTCTTCAGCATCTTCATCCTCCTCCTCATCGTCCTCATCATCATCGTCGTCGTCATCATCATCGTCTGAAGAGAGTGATAGTGATGAAGAGGAGGCACAAAAACGTGGTATGTGTGTAGTCTTACTTCTGCAGTATAACTCTTAACTGAACTAGCTTATTCTTAATGAAAAAATGTCTAAAAAAGGCTATTAAATCCCACAGAAATAAACTTTATTAAACATTAAGTAAATGTAAATAAACATATTTGCTTGATTCTTCCAAGTGAGTTGGAAGAATTTAAGGAATACTGCTTTCTGTTTGCTCCATATCAGTGCCTTGGGTGAGGTTCTTAGGATGTGTTGACTGGCTCCCTAAGCAAGGTTGCTGTGCATGTGGTTCATGTGTGGGAGAGCGGAATGGACAGATTTTCTGGAAATATACTATGTGTGTGCATTCCCTACTATGGGTTCTCTTTCTTTCTAAACAGATCCTTTAGGTTTTCCTGTTTGTTTTTTCCACTCTTGCTCACCTGTCTGTGTAGCTTCCTCATTGTTCTTTCATGAAACCTGCAAGCTTCCTTCTGTCCTAACTCGAGTCATGTCGGCTGCTTTATTTTTTGAACTGGAGGTGCCCAAACAATGTTTTTACACTGAAAATTTTCAAACACTTAAAAATGTTTCAAAAAATTCACTTAAAAAAAACTGCTTAGGCAAGACTAAGGTGACTGCAGCACATAAGACCACATGACAGAGACACAGTGAAAGCTTCAAACTAGAAGCTAAAACCTTTGATAAAGTGATTGAGTTTTTAATAACCCAACCATTCATTATTAAGTACACTCCTTACTTTGCTGCTGTGAAGTGGCCTCTACTTCCCCCACTGAAATTTAGAATGTGGAAAGATTTCTTTGTGTAATACAAATGGCAATAGAGAAGGGAAGAGAGTGGAGGTAGGCAGTGGAATTAAAAACCTATTTTTTTTCCAATACTTAAGGGAAAAAAGCATTATCTTAATCAGATGGATTTTCTTGTCCATGGAAATGAAAAATGGAAACCACAGGGTTAATTTACTGGGAAAGTGGTTACTGGACAAGTAAAATGCCACTTACAGAAAATTATTAATATGTTGCTGCCTGTAGCAGAGAAAGGACATTTTTAGAGGAAACAGTTGTATGCAAACAGTAAAACAATGACAGCAAAGGAGTGCTTAAAATATTCAGATAGAGATAATATAAATATCTAAATATAAATATTCAGATAGAGATTGTGGATACCATAAGTGTGTTACAAGTCCAAGTATTAGGCTTGTTTTGTGCTAGCTTGGTTTGTTTAGGCAAGTAATCCTGCCTTCCTCAGACTGCAGAATCACATAAAGCAGTTGGCCTTTTTGTTTTGGGGTTATTTTTGGTGATTTTGCTGTTGGTGTTTAAGAGGTTGGTAAGTGCTGGAAAGTTCACTTAACTTCATCTGTATTTTAGTTTAAGCCCAGGTTTTTTTCACTGGTTGCACAGTGGCAATGACCCTTTGGCATACTTTCCACATTTGAAGCATCTCTGAAGGGAGTGCTGGATTCTATCAGATGACTCAGGACAGTGCTATTGTTAAGGACAAATTTAATTTCTTAAGAGCTTCCCCTCTTACTCCTTGTGCTGATGTAGTAGTTACATTTTCAGGCAACACTTTTTTGTTGTTGTTTCAGACTGTTTCCCCGTGTCATAGTGAAACTTCTGTTGCTGTATGGATGGAGGCAAAAGTAAAACACTGATGATGAAATATAAGAAAATCAGAGGTTACACTGGAAAGATAATAGGAAAAACCTCAGTGACTAAAAATTGAGCAATTGAGTTATGCAGGCACACATGTTCAAGGCATGGAAGATCCAGTGCAGTAAATTAAATGGGCTGTTCTTTAAAGTACTATCCCAATGGATTTGCCATGTGCTGGTGATAGACACCTTTGATTTCAATTTAATTCTACACTTCAGTGAATGTTGTCTTACAAAGGAAATATGTTAAGTGAAGACTGTCTGTTAGATTACTCTGAAGTATGTCTGTTTCCAAATAGCTAAGTGTTTGACCTCTTAAGCTTCAATATACTAATAGAGGAATACATGTGGAATCTACATCCCTAGAAGAGGATCAGCCTGAGAACCCTAAGAGATTAGTTCTTCGGTTTAACTTTGTGTTTGGACTTTCTCTGAACATCATTGTGTGTGTTTTGTTCACCTGAACCTCTTAGAGTGAGTGTTTAATTCCCTTACAGCATAATGATTTTGATGGTTTTATTCAGCAGAGGGAACTCCACATATAAAAGCCTATGATGAAGAGAGTGTGGCCTCTCTGAGCACCACACAAGATGAGACACAAGACAGTTTCCAGATGAACAATGGGACACCAAATTCTGGTTATCTCCTACAAGGTGGATACATGTTGGCTGCATCCTACTGGCCAAAGGCAAGTTCATAATGCAACTTTGAAAACCAAAATAGCAGTTGAAGGCAGACTCCAACATGAATGTTCGGTTAAATATGTTAGAACTAAGAAGCAGGGGAAATAGCTGTAGGATTTGAGCTTCAGGACCTTTTAGATATTATTATGTTGACTCCTGAAATGTGCATTTAAATCTAGATATTGACTTTCCATAATTTTTGAAGGTGAGCATAACTTTAATGTCACAGGTCTTTGGCACTTTGTGAAAAATGGTATTCAAAGTGTAAAAAGTTGGTTTATGTCAAATATAGGGGAGAATCTTGAACTCAGAAATAAAGTGTTTGCTTCCAGAACTTGTAGTTTTATCAGTCACAAGTTTTACTTGACAAATAACTTTGAAATGATCAGAAAATCCAGTTTTCTGTAATTCTCATGTATTTAGCTGAGTTTATTGGGACTTGAGATCTGTGTCTTATGAAGGTGTGTAAAGTGTTATCTGTGTTTGGTGTCCAAAGGATGGGAATGAGGAGTTACATGGTTTTGGAAGCCAAAAGGGGACATGAATAATAGTCTGTAGATTTAGTTTTATAAATGCTATTTGCTGTATGTTATGCTGCTGCTCACAGGTTCAGATCCTGTTAGCAGTGAGTCAAAGCCAACATACAAATACTGCTTTGGTAGTTACCTTGTTACCTTATCTTTCCTTTAAAAATCAGGGAGATAGTTTGTTTTTTGTAGTCATTTGCTAGATCCTGTACAGATGAGAGAAATTGTGTACTCGTTCTGAGGTGCATAGTGATATTAAATGCAGAAGTGCTTTCGGAGATTTACAGCAAATCAAACAAATGCAGGAACTTCAAAATCTTCAAGTCCAAGTCCAGTGATAAAAATGTTGTCATTTCTCTTTGTAGAATTAAGAGCTAATACATAAATGTAAGTGTTGGTAAGCATTGGTCATCCTAAACAATTTCTTCTCTTTTATAGGACCGAGTTATGATTAACAGGCTGGACAGCATTTGTCAGACAGTGTTGAAGGGTAAATGGCCTTCAGCCCGAAGGAGCTACGACAGCACGGCAGTGGCATCGTTCTACACCACCAAACTGCTGGACAGCTCAGGGGCAGCTGCCGAGTACAGTGAGCCCAGTGCACCCACACCCCCTCTGGCAGCTGTAAAAGAAGAATATGACCAATCACCCCAGCTGTCAAAGGTGAAGAAGCATGTACGAGAAAAGGAGTTTACAGTGAAAATCAATGACGTATGTTTATTTTTATTGCCCTAGGACCTGGTTGCGATTGCGGTGTGCGGCATGCTTTACCTGCAAGTGGCTGCCTGCTCTCACTCTCACTTCTTCACACACTTGTTTGTGGGTATTTGGGTCTGCTGCTTCTGGGCACTGAGTGTTTGGGGTTTGGGTTTGGTTTTTTTGGGAGGGGGTTCTTCTGTGGTTTTGTTTTATTGTTTTTGTTTGGTTTTCGTTTGGATTTTTTCGGATTTTTTTTCTCCTAATTTGCATAAGCCACTGGAAGGAATCATTATTTTTTTTCTCTGAATTCAATTTTTTCCATACTGATACTTCCTCAGACAGCTGGTTTTATGCTGTTTCTAACACATCTGGTTAGTATAAAAAGGTATTTCTGCTGTTCAACTTTTTTTAAACATCTCAACAAGTACTTTACTATTTCATGGTCTTTTAGAAGATTGCAGGAAAATTTCCTGGTTTAAATGCAGACTAGAAGCTTCAAACATATTGTTTATCTGTAGTTTGAGAACTGTTTGTAGTACATAAAGTAAGTGATTCTTTACTCTTGTAGTTGGGTCTAGGACTGGATTCAGGAGGTAAACACCTTACTAGTGTCTGGATTTTGCAGTTCAGATGACATTTCTGTTCAAATTCTGGTTTTACATGGAAGAGCATGATTGTATAAGGTCTAACACAATGTTTTCATTCTTTCTCAATTCTGCTGGAATAACTGTATGCGAAAATCCTAATTATGAGGTAGTTCTTTCTGCTTCAGCAGAAGCTCTTCTAACCCTGGCATTTATTTAACAGGAAGGTGGTTTGAAATTGACTTTTCAGAAGCAGGGACTGTCTCAGAAAAGGCCATTTGAAAGCGAGGAGGGTGCATTGGGTCAGCAGCAATATCTGGCTCGGCTACGTGAACTCCAGAATGCTTCAGAAACCAGCCTTGTCAACTTCCCAAAATCACTTCCCAAATCAGGTACATAAAATATCAGAGAGCAGAAGGGTAGTCTGGTATTAAATCTTCTGTGTTCTTGTGTTGATGTCCATGAATTGGCAGTGGAAAAGAGATGTTTGCAATGTTATTCTAAATTGCAGTCTGGATAAATCTCTCTAGTGTAGAGCCATTCTGCAGTTTGGAGCACCTGATATTTTTTCACAGTGTCAATTACTGTAACGTTCATTTATTACAATGTTGCTATTAGACACTGTAAACCCCCTCAAAAGAAGATTTTAATAATTAATAATTCTGAAGTGAATCACTGTACATTGACAGTAATCACTCAGAACTTAATATGGCTACTTTGTAAGTAAATATGAAGAGTTCCAGATTTATGCCTCTGCCAATTTGGACTATTCATAATCTTCATATAAAGTGGCAGTGGAGGACAGTAATCTAGAATCAATTTTTGATTTATAGCCAGAAACCTACAGCTTGTTTCATAAAAAGTAACAGTAGGTATACTCTGAGAAATAAAAATGAGCCTAAAGTAAGGAGTTAACATTTGGGTTAAAATATTAGAAATTATTAGAAATGGGTGCTTAATTTAGGCCAGCCTCTGCTTAAATTTTGCAGCAAACCATTGTGGTATTGCTAAACATTTATTTAGGGATGTCTGCCTTTGTGTATATGATATCAGCAGTTTTCAATGGCTATCATCCCTGTACATATTAATTTGGGGGGGTGTGGAGGGGCAGTAATGAAATTTTCATAGTAAAGTGACTTTCAGAGCCTGATATTCATGATGCTTTAAGCAGTCATAAAACAAAGGGCAATTCATCTTAGCTGTTGCATGTAGAAATTGCACTCACACTAATTCAAATAATTTTATTTCCTTTTTTTATTCAGACATGTTTCTCTTTATAAACAAGCATCTGACACAGGTTTTATTGCATCATTTATTAGGTACTTCCAGTCACTTAACAGCCAGTGCCAATGGAGTCATAGTTGACAGTCAGCCTGTAGTCAAAAAGAGACGAGGAAGAAGGAAGAATGTGGAGGGGGTTGATGTCCTCTTTATGAATAGAAATAAACAGCCTAACCATGTAAGTAAACTTGATTTTGTATCCAAAAAATCAAAATTATTATTATTAATGCCTTAGCTGAGCATAACCAGCTGTCCCTGTTTCACAAGAGTTTGTTGTCAAAACTTTTGGGTTTGGGATATTTTTTGCTGGTAGTTTATGATTACACAGATGACAAGTGGTGGAGTGTCATTAAATATTAGATATATATAATATCAATAACTGCTTTTAAAATGTAAGTTTAATTCTGGTGAACTTTAACAATGTATTATTAAAAATTTGTGGCTTGACATAACAACACTTGAACATGCCTTCCTTTAACATTTGTTTTGGGGCCTAATATGGCAGTGATTTGAGGGATTTCTGTGGCATGAGCAGTTCTCAAGTTCTTGAGTGTGATCTGCAGAACTGTGGTTTTCATTGGACCCATACATGAAATAATTGTAATGGTTTGTTTTCAGTGCAATAAATCAGATGTTTTTAATTTCTCCAGGTTAATCCAGGTATTAACTCCTGCCAGGTTGCTGCAGGAATAAACCCAGCACTCACTTACACACAGTCCCAAGGCATGCTCGATGCAGAGAGCCCAGTTCCTGTTATTAACCTGAAAGATGGAACAAGGCTTGCAGGTGATGATGCCCCTAAAAGAAAAGACTTAGAAAGGTGGCTTAAAGAACATCCTGGATATGTTGAAGATTCAGGAGCTTGTATTCCTGTGAGTATTTCTTTCACCTCTCCCTAGCTAAATAGTAAAATACTTCACATATGATGTATTTGGGTTTGTATTCTCTGTTACAGGGAATTATTTCCTTGTTCTTCTGTTCCCCATAGGAAAAGGAAAATGTCCATTTCTTTTAACAGTGTGAGGTCTGCAAGCCCTCCTTTTGTCTCACAAATATAATTGCTAAGAAAAGCAATACTAAATCAAGACATTTGATTTTTGTATTATTTCACTTACAATTTAAAACATCTAGAGTAAGAAAACTCATATTGCTATGATAATGATAGAGCTGAAAATGTGCAGCAGCATATTTAGTGATGTGCAAGAGGATTAAACAACTTACTGTGGAATGTATCTCATACCTACAGTACAGTGTTATGGTAGTGGTGTATGATCTCATACTGTTGATTCTGAATTGGAGATTTTACATTGAGTTAATGTTTAGCAGAATGTAAGAAAATCATATGTGTGATACCTAGAGTAACAACCTTACTTCTCCATGAAGATCATACAAAACAGCAGCAGTCTTCCAGACAGTTAATGCAGTGTTAAAACCTGAAAAATTTGTAAAGCAGTGGGCAGAGGCATCAGAGAGATGATGTAGTGCTGTTTACTGGGATGCTTATTAAATGGTTGTGATTAGTAAATAGGTACTGTTATTAAACTAATTCTGAAGTTCAAGTTGGTTTTGAATTAATGCCTGACCACAGAGAATGCACAGAGATCTTCCTGTTTTTAAAGCAGTTATATCAGAAAGATAATTGGCTTTTTAATTCCTTTATAACAGAGGATGCAGCTGCACGATGGGAGGCCCAAACAAAAAAGACACCGTTGTCGAAACCCCAATAAACTGGATGTTAACAGTTTAACTGGTGAAGAACGTGTTCAGCTCATAAATAGAAGAAATGCAAGAAAGGTATTCATGATACTGTTCCCATTCTGATACTCCCCAAATGAAAAGTTATTCCAGATGAAGAACTTGATACACTACGCTCACTAAAATTTTCCCAGTATACAAACAAAAGGTTTCTGTTTTAAAGTTTTGGCAGTTTTTTTAAGTTTTAAAGTCAATTAAAATCTTACAGTAATTTTTTTTGCAACTGTGAAAATATGTAAGGTACACATAGAAACTTAGCCATGGTTTATAGAACACCTGGTATGGTGCAGTGTTTGTGCCATTGACTCAGACAGAGGCAAGGCCACTAAAATACATGTTTAAAACATGATCAAAGTGGCAACTTCATCAAAAGTTTTGAGATTTTTTGTAATCTTTCTCATTACTATTTTTGACACAATTAAAATTGTGTTGGTAGTATATCTGGCATAGAAACTTACCCTTTGGAACTGAGGAAATCCTGTGTACTGGATTATTTTGCTTTTTTCACTAATGTCTGGCATTTGCCCTTTATGGATCCACCAGTAGGTATGTCAGTCACATTTCTAGGTGGAATGTTAGAGGAACAGGAGAACAAAAGGAGAAGGGGAATTCTTGTGTCAAAAGGCGGCAGTAGAAGATGTGAGAGAATTTGAATTTAATAGAATTTTTGTACAGGCGGTCAAAGTTTGGGAACAGCACAACACATTTGAATAGGCTCTGGGGAAAGCTAAAGGCAATTTTCAAGAAAAGTGTGCAGAACATTACTGGTGTCTATTGAACAGATCTGGCCAGATGTGTGTGATGGTTTCTTTGAATGTCAGTGTAGCACCAGAGCAGCAGTCCAGGGGGAATCCTTGAGCTGTTGTGTCTGTGTATGGAGCATTTTCCCTTTTATGGCACTGCCAGCTTCTCTTTTTGTTAGAGCAGCTACAAGGGAATCAGGATGGGTTTTTTCATATGCTGCTATATTAAGGTCAGGAGCTTTGTCCATCTGTACAGGAGAGCGAGGCAGAATTTGAGTCTTTAATCTCTTCAGTGTATTGAGACAGCCGCTCTGAAGGAGAAGCAGAATGGTTGTGAGTCTCTTGAAACTGGCATCCATGACTGCTCTTCAAAAGCTGTGCCCTGAGGGGTCTTGTCAAAGTTGAGGATCAAGGAGTGAGAGATCTGATCTCAGTTAACTGTGAAAACCTGTGTTTTTGTGATGGCTTTTTTTCCCTTCAGATTTCCCTTCCATAGTTTGTACTTGGATGCTTTGTTAATCTCAGTTTTTCCATGTATAAGTTGTCACAAATTTCTCTGTATCACCAAACTAGTTTTTTTCAATTTCTTTTTTAGTTCTGTAGCTTAGTAGCAGGGAGTGAAAGACCAAAAGTAGTCTAGAAAATACGAGTTTAAGTTGCAGTTTATAGAGAAAGTTAAGCAGAAACTGGAAATTCTTTTTTCTTTCTGGATCTGAATAATACCTCTCATTAATTTAATAGCTTACTTTCCTACTTATATGCTTTTATTAGGATATGCTGTTTAGTAATTTTAACTTGACCTTTTTTGCGTGAAAAAAACCTCAAGAACTTAATTCATGATGGCAGAGCCTCTTAAAAGTATTTTTAGAAGTTGACTGAGATGAAAGAATAGGATTTATGTATTGAATAAAGGAAAAGTTTAACAGGGTTGTACATACCACTTTCTTGGTAATATGTGGACCACTTTCTCTGTTCATGTGGTTGTTCTTCTGTTCATTGCATACCTAAATAAAAATTAAATATTAAACATTAGTGGGAGTGTAAAATATTGAAGTCTCAAACTGAGTTCGATAGATGAGTTTGAGTTTAGTAGATTTAGAACAAATCATATACACATCTATCACCAGCAGTCAGCCAAAAGCTGCATCATGCTCCATGATAATTTGAAGTGAGGCTTTATTTGTACTGTTATTTAAAAAGTAAAAATGAAACAATATTAGGTATTAATGTTGCTTTCTTTCTTATCAGCTGTCATGTATTCACTGACTTCTATCTTCTGCTTCTCAGGTTGGGGGTGCATTTGCTCCCCCTCTGAAGGATTTGTGCAGGTTCTTGAAAGAAAATCCAGAGTATGGAGTGGCTCCTGAGTGGGGAGAAGTTGTAAAACAGTCTGTGAGTATTTGCAGAATAAGATAAGCATGACATGAAATGTATCTGAAGGGTAACAAGGCAAACAGAAAAAAAATGCATGCCAAGGGGTGTGATTTTCATTTCTGGTGTTACATTAATAGCAAACATAGTTCAGTGTCAGCTTTCTGCCAGCTTAGTTCAGTAAATGCTTTGCTGGCACAGCTGGAGTAGGGGTGGAACAGTGACTGGCAACCACAAACCAGAGATTTTATTGAAGATGCTGTAATACTGTGACTTTTCATGTCTTAAATATAGCCCAGTGGCTTTTACGAAAGATACTAGTCAAGAAGAATGAGAGTATTTTCTTTAAAGTTCCAGTTGGGGAAAAAAAATGGTTAATTTGAAATATTTATTTTACTTTTAATGTGAGCCTTTGAGAAATTAGGCTAGTGGGGATACTATCAGTTAGTCTTACCTTGAAGATAAGGACATACTTTGAACTTCAAAGAGTTGTGTTGTATAGTGTATACCTCTGAATAGAGGTATAAATAATAGCAGAATTACTTTGAGAAAGTAGTAGTTATGTACATAGAGAAGAGCAGAACTTGAGTTCTGAAGTCCTCTAGTTGTACTAAGCTAATATAAATTACAGTTATTTCCTGGGGGGAAAAAGGCAGCTGTACTATGGTGTTGAGTAATATTTGATCTTATCATTGCCATTTTAAAAAGGGAATTTCAAACCTATGCATTTTGAAGGGAATCTTGGTATTCGTTGCAATTCTTTTTTGTTAGGAGGTCTTAAAGTGGTGAAATAATACAAATCCTAAATAGAAGTACTGTGAATTTAATTTAAATTCAAGTTGAGTCTTTATTCTTCAGTTTATGGATGAGATGAAATATGAGGACATTAAAGAGACACTAGCAAAAATAAAAAGGGCTCAGAGATTGTTGGTCTGTGTGCAATCACACACATTTAACTTTAAATTGAAAACTAATTAAACTGTCAAGTGATTGCTGTGTGATAATATTTCAAAGCAGTGCTGGTTTAGATCTTAGACTGAGCTTGCTCCTATAATTAGCTATATTTTGCTTGATGTGCCAGGAAGCCATGAAGGGTTAGTTAGCAGAGGGTGTGAGAAGATCCGTGTGTAGCCCTCACAGTGGAGATGGGCCTTTAGATGTTTGGGGTGTGGTAGCACAGAGTCACCACGGATGCCAGGGAGTTGTGTGGAGCTCAGGCCTTTGACACTGTTCTGTACACTTGAGTCCTGTTTGCTTTTCCTTTGCCATCTTCAAGCTCCCAAAATACACTAAAGCGCCCCTGTGTCTCTCCCAGGGCTTCCTCCCCGAGGGAATGTTTGACCGCATCCTGACGGGCCCGGTGGTGCGGGAAGAGGTGAGCCGGAGGGGGAGGCGCCCCAAGAGCGAGATCGCCAAGGCCACGGCGGCTGCGGCGGCCGCCTCCGCCGCCAGCGTGCCCATCAGCCCCCTGCTCGCCAACGGGCTGCTCCCGGGCGTGGACCTGCCCAGCCTGCAGGCCTTGCAGCAGAACCTGCAGAACCTGCAGTCGCTGCAGGTGACGGCGGGATTGATGGGAATGCCGGCCGGCCTAGCTGCCGGAGGAGAGGCCAAGAACGTGGCTGCCATGTTCCCCATGCTGCTGTCAGGGATGGCTGGGTTACCAAACCTGCTGGGCATGGGAGGACTCCTGACAAAGTCGACAGAATCCGTTTCGGAGGAGAAAAAGGGAAACGAGTCAAAGGACATGGATACAAAGAAAGAAAGGACAGAAGACCAAAATACGGATACTGGTGGTGAAAACTCTGTTTCGAGTTCTCCTTCAACATCCTCTGCCGCTGCAGCTGCCAATCCTCTCTCTCTTAACCCTTTACTTTTGTCCAACATACTTTACCCAGGGATGCTTCTCACTCCAGGCCTTAATCTTCATATCCCAGCTTTGTCTCAGTCTAATATTTTTGATGTACAGAACAGTGAAAGCAATGACACAGGCTCAGCCAAGCCCACAGAAGAAAAGGAGGAAAATTCTAGGGTTAGAGATCAGGAAGACAAAGGGGGAACAGAGCCAAGCTCTCACAACGAAAACAGCACAGATGAGGGTTCAGAGAAAGCAGATGCTTCATCTGGATCTGACAGTACATCATCTTCATCTGAGGATTCGGATTCGAGCGATGAAGACTGACCCCAGACTCTGCACTTAAATTATAAACTGATTTTGAATTTATTCTTTAATTATTTCATTGTAAATAACCCAGTGTTGAGTGCATCAATGATTTACTGACCGAACATTTCAGTATTTGTTTAGAAGTGCAAACTGCTTTCAGAGACGTTTTGCATGTAATATTTCTTGAAGTTCATAAGTTTCTGAACTTGTATGTACTATCAAATACACAATGGTGTAAAATTACAACAAAAGGCATTATAATTTTGTTGGGGGGTTAATTTTATGAAAATAATGCTCAAGTAAGAGCTGTATATTTAATATATTTGCAGTGAACACAGAATACTTTATGCATATTATTGATTTAATTTGAATATAGTTTTACAGCCTCCTTGACACTTATAATTTACAGATCAAAACTCAGCAATAATTTGGGCAGCTAATGAATGTCATGAAAGCTGTAGAATCTACATCACCATCCATTGCTTTAATTACATGAAAATGCTCTAGTGTTGTGATGCACTGCTGTTTCCAATTCAGGTACAAGTGTGTTTAAAAGAAGATAAATTTTTCCCAATCAGCCAATTAAACTGGCTACCTGTTACCTCAGCTGAGTTAGTTTAGGAAGTTTACATTGGTTTCTATTACTTGTTTTCAGGTTTTGTTTTGTTTTTTAAAGACATCCTGTATAGCATGTTAAAATCTGAGTTACTTGAGATAAGACTGTTGGGGTTTTCTTTCCCCCTTATTGCAGCTGTTCTCTTTGACAGCAGGAAGGGGAAATTAAAGCAAAAATTGTCTTATCTCATGCTACCTGGCACCATGTAGGTCTATTTAGTTTACACCTTGCAAAGTTTTGGGCTCCCTCTGCAGAATTAAAAGTCCCAAAATGAGGAGTAGTTTCCTCAAAACTCAGAAGAGGCAAACTGTCATAAAGTGCCACTGAAAAGACCTTTCAACACTGCATAATTCATGTAAAAATTGTTTGTTTGCTTTGTTTGTGTAGATTTCTATTTGTGTTTTATGTCATAAACCTCCTGGAGTTCCCAGTTAATAATGGTAAATAGAGTACAGATAGTTTTGAACTCCTTTTGAGTTTAAACTTCTCTGCAGATTTTAATCTGACTAAATATTAAATTTATTATCCAAAATCATTATTGGGATATCACTTCATATATTATGCTGAGTTACCCACTAAAGAAAAAAGCACTTTGAATAGTAAGGAAGACAAATTATTCCTAGAAACCACAGTAACAGGGCATAAGGCATCTGTTTTAAGTCCAAATCCTTAGAACCCTTTACTATATAAAATCTGTCTAAGATTTGATGTGTGATATGATTCCTCCTTCTTCTTAAGCTGCTATTACTCTGACACGGTCAAGGCCCAGATTCACATTTACAGAACTTCTGAACTGACTGAGACTTCAGTTGACCTTGGTTACATCAATTGCGGTCCAAGAATAGGCAAGTGTTAAGAGAAAATAGATACAGGTACTAGTGAAAGTCATGGAAAAAGCTTTACAAAGGGATAAATTTAAAAATAAAAAAACAAAAACTGTATATTTTGATATAGTTCTGTTGCTTGCTTGTACAGTAAAACAACTGTGTTGTTTTTTATCAAGAACTTTACCAATGAAATATAAGTTTCTATGTGCAAATTAAATAGCCCCATGATTAGAAACAGTATTAGATGTAATTACACAATTATACAAGTACCATTTGGATTGTGCTGGTTACGTATTTTCCCAGATAGTATTCTGATTTTTGGCCCTTCATGCAGTGTCTTAGCAATAGTGAAAATCAAAAACTGCCAAGAGAAGGGGGTAGCCAATTCTTCATCATTAAAATAAAAAGTATTTCATATTAAATATTTTGCCCTTTGTAATATAGCACTTTTATTTAACTAGGATGCATCTATGAAATAGCCAAAGTTTTACAAGCAGTTATTAACTTCGTTTGCTGATGGAGTATGTCAACAATACCATCACTTCCCACCCTTCCCCCACAAAACAAGTCCTAAATCTTGTGGCTAAAACCTAATTTATATCAGATTTATGAAATAAAGTATTTTCCTATTATGGTCAAGTAAGTTTGGTTACTGTTCTAGTGATTCTTTCTATGTAATAAGGCAATTACAGTTTCAAGTAATGAAGGCTGGTGTAGACTTGAACATAATTATATTTGGGTTATTTTTCATCAGTTTGATCCAGAGGGGGAAAAAGTGTCCCACTATCAGCTAAACTATATGCAAATATGGTTGTATAAAGTTAAGGGTTATAAGGAAACCTCAGTAGAATTACACTAATACTGAAGTTAAAATGAAAAGGATATCCAAGGTGATGATAAAGTGTGTGTTGGTAGTTACTAAAAAAAAACCTTAGCTGTTATTGCCTTGTATTTCTATCCCTTGTTTCAGGCTTCATGATCCAAGTCTTAGTCCAGGTTTTTTTTGGACATTTGCAATATTTGCCAGTTGTGTTCTGTGTAGTCTGAATTTGCTTTCTGTAGTTGAACAAGCGTCTTAAAAAGTCATTTGTAATTTATTGAATTACTTTCTATGATGTTCTATAGAGCAAATGGAAGTTTAATTATTTTTTATTAAACATATTCTTTGACTACCCGTGATGTCTGCCTCAGTATGTGAAAGTAATGCTGTGTAAGGATTAAACGTGGATCTTCCAGGAGCAAAACTCAAGTTTTAGTGCTAAGTTTTAAAACTGAAATTATTCTTAAGACCTTTAAAACCCTGCAAACAAGCAAAGGACATAACACTCACAACCTACTGCCCAAGACCATGGTTTACTCTTACAGAATTTTACTGGGAATCAGTTGCCTCTAATTCTCTTGTCTTACAATCAAAAGCTGTTTTTCCCACACTACTTATGGTTAGAAAATAATGTATGGTCTAGGTTCTGGTTCAAAAGTTACCTTAATTTTAAATAAGCATCTTGGCAGTGAAGTAAGTACCTTTTCAGTCTTCTTTTAAAAAAACTTTGCATTACTTTCTACATCTTTATTAAAACTTCTAATTGTGCACACAGCACTTAACTATTGCATGTATTTCACACAGGGCACAGATGTTTCTCCTGAATCCGAGTTGTCTCCTGCTTGTCTGGTGCCACCTTGTTTTAACCTGGCATTGCATTTGAATGATTCAATGGTATCCTTATTTATTTCAGCCTGAATTTTGTCTTCATCCTCATCATCCTTTTTGAGCTTCTTCTGCAGATCTGTACACAGGTGATAAAAGTTCACATATACATGATCTCTGTTCTCAGCTTCTCTGTTTCTTTTTCTCCTTAAAAGTCCTGCAAAATCTCTTTAACAGTATTTTTTAAAATCCATTTTAGAATCCAGTCTTCTTGGTCTACAAATTAAAATATAAGGATCTATTTTTCAGTGGAACTATTCCCGAGGGACAGGTGTTCTAGGCACTATATTGGTGGTTAGTTTCTGGCACTTCTTTGAAATTTTTCCAAACAGTATGTGGGGTATGATGATAAGATTCTAAACAAGGTGTCCAGAGCAAAGTCCTGTCATATTTGTTTTATTTTGTCTCTGAGAAAATTATTTGTGCCATGTTATATAGTAATACATTTTTCATGGATTGCTCAGAGTGACAGTGCTGATCACCCATTAAAATGAGGTTTGATAAAGATGTAATTCAAGCTGTAGTGAGATGAAATGTGCCTGGTATTCAAGGCTAATATAAAGAGATGTACACAATAGTGTTAACTTATTTGTGATGTGCAAAGTTACTAACAGCTAGTTTTATAAGCAGTTTCTGATCTAGTTCTATTACATCTATAATTACCTTCCACATGAGCAGGCTGTTTCAGTGCACTGTACACTGCTGTAGCTGACCAACACTGAAAATTTTACATTTGTATGTTGTTGGGACCTTGGGCTGGTGGTGTTGTCTGTAGAGCAGACTAATTGTACTGGTGTAGCCACAGGAGTTTACAAAATAACTGCCCTGGCTTATCTAAGTGTCCCTAATGTTACACAAACAGGCAATATAATTTCTTTGTTACATTTAGAGGAAAAGGAAATAAAGATAACAGCTTTCCAAGTTCTTTTTATGATTTTTTTTATTGAATGCTGCCTCCTTTCAGGTTCTTTCATGCAAGGAAGGAGGGAAAATGCAATGCCCACGATCCTTCATGAAGTTAAACTGGAAAATGAGGACTTGTTTGCTCTGCCTCCTGTGTTCCAGTGTGAACGAGACCTGACAGTGCACAATTCTCATTAGTGTTCCAGGTAAGGTCTCACGAATAAAAGAGAGGCTGGCTTGGGAAGTTCTTGGGATCCTAATGTCAGATAGAGTTTCATCATCTAGAGAGATGAGAGTGCACTCTCTAGTGCTCACCAAAACTGGTAATAGTCCTCACACTTTTTTTCTGCTGTCTGATGATACAAGCATTTGATTTGGGAACTGCCGTGTCAGATCCTCTGCTTGACAGTGTTTGACCTGAGTGTAGTAGGGGGCACGAGCATGTTCATGGGGAAAATTTCTGAGACTACAGAACAGTAAAAAAATGTATGTTATTGGGGTTAGCCAAGCAGCTGAGAGGGTTTGTGGCTGTTATTTGTCATACTGGTAGATCTAGCATGGAGTTATTCTTGCATCTTTTTAATGGAGGAGGAGCAGGAGGGAAAAAGGGGAGAAGTGGAGGAACAAGTGAAGCTATGTCCTCAGGGGTAAAAAAGATTTCACTAAAATGTTTCTTACCTGAATTTTCAGTACACTGTTAAATGAAAACTTTAAAAAAAAATTTCTACACAAAAGAAGTTAACCCATTTATTTACAAAGTCTGGAAGCATGAAACCACAGGGAAGTATACAGGTGTAATCACAGCATAATAACCTTCCCTTGAACCTCAGCTTTATCTTTCAATATTGTGAGGGTTTGTTCCTCTTTTTTTAATATGAAAGATTTTTACAGAGTAGATTAATATTTCTCAGTATATATTAAATGCTGTAATAAGTTATTGCTGCTTTGTGTTTTAGTAGATACTGTAAATTTATCTAAACAGAAAAAACCTGTGTCATTTATATAGTCTTCTGGGTGGCAGAGAGCTTCCCATCAATGCTCTGCAGAGCTCAGAGTAGGACTTGGCCTCGCTGGAAAGTTTACAGCTCCTCTGTGTTACAAAAAAAAAAAAAAGATGTAAGACATTAAATATAACCTAATCACTAGTTTTTAATGTTGTAAGCTGTTCTGGTAATCTGGGGGTTACAGGTATAGGGGGGACCCTGCTGACAGCACCAGCTCGAGCTCTCTGCTGTTCTCTGTGCTGGGTACCAGTGTGTATTTGTGTCCTGAATCACATCTCAGGTCAGCCAAATCATCTTTTCTTGACGTTTCTTTTTTTTCCCCTGAAGTTTTCAGCATTGGTGAAATACCAGTAACACAAAATCAAGCCGACAGAGTCAATAAATCTCTTTTAATCAAGTGCAGCCTGTTGTACTGATCACTTCATTGATATGTACACCTGCTCTAGGACTTAAATCTCATTTTTGGCAGCCTCCTCTGCTCAGTTAGGACTTGACCCAGGGGAGCTATTTCTGCCTCTTTCCTACCCTCCACTGCCTATATACAGCCCATGCCCTGCACTGTGTGTACGTGTACGTATTTGTGTATGTATTTGTGTACAGCCCCTATCCCGCACTGGGTGTATGTGTTTGTGTACCAATTTCTGTACAGCCCCTACTCCGCAGTCTATGTGTGTTTACAGCCCGTAGCCCGCACTCTGTGTATATATTTGTATATATTTGTGTATGTATTTGTGTACGGCTTTCCCGGCACTGACCGCTCTCGGCCGGTTCCGGGCTCCCCTCACGGCCCGGCCCGG